CAACTGCTTTTCAGGAGCGATACAGTGCTTTCTATCCAAGGAGTTTATGATGATACTGAGCTCACCCATACACACAGTCACACACCGACAGCACAGCCATCGGGAGCAATTTGGGGTTCTTTATCGCGCCCAAGGGCACTTGGACTGGTCTGGACGACATGCTCTAGTGTCTGTTGTAGTAATTTAGATCCATTTAGTGTGGAACTGCTGTGGCAGGAAGATGTGGACATGCTCGCTTGATCCCCAACATCAACAAAACGCTGTAAATCAAATGCAGATTCCATCCAAGCACGACTCTGAACAGTTTCAGCTCTAACACGTCACTGAAGCAGAAGGAAATTGACCAGGATTCAGGTTTTTGTGTCAGTCTCCTAAACAGCGGGATGCTCACACTTATACAAGCTTTACTATACAAAAAGCTTTATTCAAAGCATAAAGTACAGTTCCATGCATTAAATCTCTTGTTGCATCTGGCAGATGTGGTGGGATTGCAGTAGGTGCTTCACCATCTGTTGCCTGGCGGAGATCTGCAATCTGAGTGCTACTTCTAGTTTTGTTTATAGACTGTCTACAGGTTGTGACCATGATCCCGAGGATCCAGTCTTTCTACATTCCTGAGCTTTAACATCATTGGTGTCAATAAGATAAATAAGCCACAGCAAACAGACCTTATGTGTTGAAGCATTCTTTCAATCATCTGAAGACAGAAAAATAGAAAATATAACAAAACTGCTCATAATACTCATAATGTTAGGAACCCTGTTGGTCTGGTTAGAGATAACATGAAGAGACAGTCAGACTGGAACTGGCATCAAGGCTGACCCGCTTCCACTAATCAACTGAACAGATGCTCCCTGGTCGACGGTGTCCCTAATGCCGCACAAGGGCAGTAGACCTTAATTTCAATGTTGCATAATGACATCAGCAGCATGACCTGACATCACTCTTAGCTAAGAATGTGTTGTCCCATTGCCCAGCTGTATTCAATCACTCGTGGCAGAAGCAGATGTAATTATCTTTAAATGTGGTAAGCTAACATCCTGCCACACAAAGGTGTGCTGGAGCTCAGTTTGTTTCTGTGGTCAGGTAGCCCCTGATTGAAACCATCATTTTGCCAATTTTATTTCATGTTTGTATAGCTGGTACTAGAGGTGTGTATTGCCAAGAATCTGGTCATGCAATATGTGTCATGATACAGGGGTTACAATTCAATATATTGCAACGTATTGTGATACAGTAAGCAAGGAAAACGTCCGTAGTATAAATAACACACCACAATAAAAAGTATATTTCACCTTATCCTGCAACCTTACTTTTTACGTTTAAAACCAAGTACAACAGCCTGTGAGGAGGCAGGATTTTCACTACGCCTTTAAGACAACACAACATACAACCTAGTTCAATTTATGCATAATGAACCTTGAAGCATACAGTACCAGCCTGCAGAGCTTCACATATATTGTGCTGCAAACACAATTCAGTCAGTGCTCAAATAAGTAAAACTGTCAAATGAGTCAAAGGTTATTTGTACTGTAATTCTAAAGTCTTGATCTGTCTCTCTGTGTCTGTAGCCATTACATGTGTATGTGCTGGAGCCTATTAACGTAGACTCTGCGTCATTACCCAGAGCTTGATATCATTAGCTCACATTTAGAGGGTCACAGCCCTCCCCTCTCTGGACTCCCGTGGGGTTTCTTACAAAGAACAATGGGTTACACAGAAAATATTTCAAATTAAAGGATGAGAGTGTGACTCATGTAGAGTCAGATCCTCACAGTGAAAGCACACTGTCTGGCCTATTGGAATTCTTACTTTAATTTCCTGCTGGTTATCTTTTTGGACTGATCCCAACACAGCTCCTGCCAAGATTTTTATTTTTACCCTTACTGATTTCTGTGTTTTGATATCTGACATTTAGTTTACTTAGTTGCCTCTGGTCATAAACATACCTTAGGATTGAGCAATAGTGCACATCCTTGTATTGTCTTATTAAAGAGAGGTGGGATGGTAACTAGTGAAGTTACTACTTGTAAACTGTTGGATATACAGTATCCCTTCTAACTAGGTATCCTTATTTTATATGTTTCATAAACTTGAGTTAAAGCTGTAGTAGGTAACTTTTATCAAAACGGCTTTTTGTCATATTTGCTGAAACTTTAACTATATCCTGACAGTAGAACATGAGACAGATAATCTGTGAAAAAATCAACCAAAACAACCAATCGGAACCAAGAAAGACACCTACCACTTTGGGCTGGATACGTGAAGATAGTTTATTGAGTCTCCTAGTGTCTGTATTTGACTAAATGTATTTTTTGTCAAAAGTTACCTATTGCAGTGTTGCTAAATATTGCTATTCTTTATTTGCAAGACAAAATTCAACAAGTAAATACATTGATATACATTTTAGAGCTCTGACAGATACTGCCCAAAATGTGGCATATGGTCAGGTACATGTGTTTGGCTACCGATCTGATACCACCTAATTCATTAGCCGTAAAATGGGATCCTGCTGCTACTTCCTAGCAGTCCTGTTCAGCCTTTTTTCCTTCCCAGGATAAGTTGTGACCCTCCTTCGGATTCTGACAAAGGGCTTAACCAGGCTATAAAGCAATGATAGCACTCACACAGGGTTAGTAGTACACGCTTGTTAATATGTTAAATATTTCTATATATAAATTGACTAATAAATAAATCCCTTTTAAATTGTCTTTCACAATGGAGCTATATCTGAAAATCAATAAAAGGATAATGACTATATTTGTCCAATTAGTTGAATTGTTGCCCCTTTAGCTGAACAGAATACCCTGACATTGTGTTTGGGCCTATAAGAAGACAAATGAATGATTAAAGGGATCCTGTTAAGTGTAAAAATACATTTTGGAACAGAAGTGAACCCGGACGTGGAGAGGGATTTTGGCTCTACAGACCGTCTAGCTGCCATGTTCCAGGTCTCAGCAGTGCTGCTGAGTCACTGAGGGGACACAGGCAGGGTGTTCATGTTGACAGATGGCCCAGGTGAAGTGATGCTCAAGCCCTCCCTCAGCTGAGTGCATGCCAAAGGCCCAGCATTATTGGATAATTTATAACACCAACACGCCCAACAGAGTGTAACAGAGCCTGAGGGAGAGTGTAGATGGAATACGTTGTTTCTGTAATCTAAAGCTGTGGGTGTCATGTACCGTGAGTCTCGTGAATTGGATTAAGATTGATTCTTCCTCATGAGAGATAAAATATTACTAAACTAATGCCTCCCATCTGTTGGTGAAATGTGGGAAAACGACTCTTTGACATTATCTTGTACCATCTCATTTTAAATATGTGCATTTATTACGCCTAATACATTAGCCTGTCAGGGTAAAAATGCACACTAAGTCTTTAAATGCCTCTGGTATGACTCAATAACATCAACTGCTACGGCTTCATCAATGAGTGTCAGGAAACTATTCTCCCATCAATTCAATTCAATTTCTGAATATGAAATGCCCATGTAAAAACACACATTCAAAATGCCAATGTAATTTATACACCTGAACAGGATGTCTAGAGAATATTTATGCCTGATCATGAATTATTTCTGTACACACGCACAACTGGTACCACACTATTCCACTGACCAGAACAGGTGCTGCTAACACTGCGAGAGATGCTGCAATGCACCAACGAATGCTGTGAAGCAAATGGATGTAAACAATGCTGGATTTAAAGTACATTTAAAAAAAGAAAAAAAAGAAAGAAAATCAGCTTTGCAAATGTTTTATGAGGAAGGAAATGCACTTGATATCAAGGATATGCCTAATGCGTGTTTTTGAGGAACACTGAATGTGAACATAACAGTGAGTGTGTTCATTGTGCCCATATGCTGAGACATGTGTGGCTTTGGAGATGGCCTCCTCTAGTGCCACCCTTAACTTGTGCATTATATATTACATAATGTCTTACACTGCCTTGACATTTGCTGAACATATTAATATAGATCAGAGGAAAAACCAGCAATGAAACTATTTTTAACTTTCTAATCAGCCAGGCTCAAAGAACTTTTTGGCGCAATCACTGTCTAATTTATTAAGAAACACTTAACTGCTGCATTTCAGATGTTTAGAATCCATCACTAAATTCACTAAAGAAACGTGAGCTTGTTTATGGCAGTTAATGATTGCATTGAAAATAAAATACTGACCTTTTGTGTCTCTGGCCAGTGGAGGAAATGGTGGTAAAGCTTCAGAATAAGTACAAAAGATTGGTTTGCAGACATCCTGTATTCATCCCGAGGTCATTACGAGTGCTATAAATGCAGGGCGGACAATACGCTGTATACCCAACGACCTCTAGCAGGGAGGCCACCAACGTCACAACATTATCTGTGCACAGGAGGGAAGCTTCCTGTGTATTAAACACATGCTCTGTCTGTGTGTCAGTCCATTTTAAAGAGCCAGTTAGACCTGTCAGCCAGAGGGGTTTATTTTGTCTTTCAGTGTAATTTCATGAAGTCATATAGTGGTGTTCATTAAAGTTGGCCTAGATATCACAAAATACAGTCACGTCAGATCCCTACATGTTTTACCATTCCCATTTACCAGGAGTCCTTTGAACATTACACAGAGCAGGCTTTACTCTCTTACAAGATGGTTTGAAACTTGAAAACACAATTTCTCCCTCAGCGCACAGTGAAACCACACACAACCGGCCCGAATCTCACTTAGAAATGTAGAAAAGTCCCAAACTTTTTCATTTACTTTTACTTCTACTTGATTTTGAAAAGGATTTTTTTGGAGAAAGTCAAAAAAGATAAGTATATTTGGGGGTGTGTGCTTGATTGAGCTGGATTTCTTCCTTCTCCGACCGCAGCTACACCCAGGATTCATCCCATGTGACCACATTTGAATGCCCTGGCACCAAGGTTGCCATGTATTCAGGATTCAAACAGTCTGTAAAGTGGGCTTGGTTCTCCACAGTCTATGTCCTCATATAAGAATGATTCTATTGTCTGTGCTTTGTAGGAACCGTTTGAGGATGGGTTTGCCAATGGTGATGAGTTGACCCCGGCTGAGGAGACTGCTGCTAAAGAATCAGCAGAGTCCAAAGGAGTGGTCAAGTTTGGCTGGGTCAAAGGTGTGCTGGTAAGTTAAACTTGACTTTCTTTTGTACTCATAAATATGTTGTTTTCATCAGTTATTTTTCCAAGATATTCCTTTTTCTTCTAGTAAAGTTACCTACAAGCACTGTTAAAGACATGCTAGGTAGGATTTTCAGTGTGTACAAATGATTGAGAGGGATTACCTCTCATCGCTCCTGACCCACCAGTAGTGTGTGGCAGTGTCTGTATCCTGCAGCCTTCTGCCTGGATTTTCCTATTTTGCTGTGTGTGGGACACGTCTGGCCGTCAACCTCTGGGCAGTGTGCAGGGTCTGACATTGGGACTACGATCATTTTTAAAAAGTTAACAAATACAAGCATTACACAAGCAAAACTGAAACTAAATGTTTCTTTAAATTTTGCAGCTTGCATACTGAAAGAGAGAAATGGCTGTACGGTTTGTCCATTACATCAATGGTTCTACATATGTCCCAAGTTTTTGAGATTACAAGCTATAATTAGTACCAACGAATCTGACATCTGCATTGATCGGAATATTTCACATATGCTCAAATGTCCAAGTGTTCAGTTAAACTCAGTGAAGTGGGTCACAGGTGATAAGTGTGCCACTATACAATTTGAACTGTATGTGCAAGCAGCTGACACTCTGTTAAGGATTTTGGACCGTTAGTGTGAACCACAGAAGGCTCAGACTGGTTGGTTGGTTGTTAAACGCTCAGACACTCAGCACAGTCAGAAGTTTTCATGTTAAGACGTGTCTGGATATGATCATCCTGTATTTATTTTGGCAGACGTCCTTACTTCCTCTCTTACATAAACCTCACACTAATTCTCATGTTTCTTGTTTTCTAATGGCTTGTATCCAGTAGTATAGGTATTTTCTTAAAATAATCTCCTTGAGTGATGTCTGGTTGAACCAAGCCCACAGTAACAGTCCCTCCTCTCTGCAGGTTCGATGCATGTTGAACATTTGGGGTGTGATGCTCTTCATCCGCATGTCATGGATCGTGGGTCAGTCTGGAATTGGTAAGGAGAGATCACCTATGAAGAGTGGTAGATTTTAGAAACAATTATTCTGCTCTCACTATGTTTACAGTATCCTGCCTTGTGTTTGTGTTTTGGACATGGGAAACTGTGTGCAATCTGCCTGTGGTTAAACACTGTTGCTTCAAAAGGTAGATTGTGTAAGATTTGTTTTCTGCATTGCAAAACCATGCTAAGGAGCAAATAGAGTAGACAATCTTACATTAGGTCTGACATTTTTAAGAAGTCCCTTGTGGAAGGTTTACCATAATTACCACTTTACCACAAATCAGGTAAATCAGTTTTGATGCTCTGTCTTATCACACCATTATAGCCCCAACCAGTGGTCAGTGCACTGCCCTGCTTCCCTTACAGACTGATTAGAATCAGTAATGATGTGAGAGTTGGAGCAGATTGTGGCTACCAACAAGTTATATTATATACAAGTTTATATTATTATTATAATTATATTATTAATCACAGTCCCTGTCTGTGATTAATACAAATGCAGATCCCACTGTTCTGGTAAACTTTTTTAACTCAGATTTTTTATTTATACTTTGACAGTTTTCCTAAAATTAGATTAAAAAACCCCTGTATCATGATACATACTGTATTGCCAGATTCATGTCAATACACAGCCCTATGTAAAATGTAAAAACACTTCAGAATCTGTTTAAATGTGTTTAAAAAATATAAAAAGCCCCAAAAAGTTTACTTTTATTTACAGAACCAGAACAGTGAGATCTGCATTTGTATTCATCACAGTCCCTGTGACACCCAACATCACAGCCCTCACTTTACATTTACACTGCTGATTTTAACACAAAAATGAACAATGATTTTGAGAATCGATACAAAATCACAAAACAATATATTTTTAAATATTTTCTTAAACCCCTACCACAAACTAAATTCCATTATAAAATAAAAATTCAACAAATTATGAAATTAAATGGGAAGCTGTAGATAACAAGACATGAACTAAAATTGAACCACACAGATTCCGGGAATAAAAGAGATAAGAGACAAAATGGGTCAAATCAGGATATGCTCTCCAAAGAAAAGTATATTCTAAGAAGAGAACTCATTTTGATACCTCCTTTCAACTGGTGCTAGATAATCCAGGCTGCAGAGAAACAAAGTGTTTGATACACAGCCAATGTTTTACATTGATGTGACAAAGACTGCACATAACTGACAAATTCAAATGTCACCGTCTATAAAAGTTACTAAGCAACGTGATACACAGCCCATATTTATTGACACTGTGATGCTTACTGGGTGGTCATTTCATTTCAACCCTGTGTTCAGCACTCCCTCTGTCAGTTACTTTCTCACTTCACACACAACTCCCCACTGCCCCCCACCACCACAGCACTTTGTGATAACGCTCCACTTTGATGTGAAATATCACCACAATGTGACACATGTGGCAGACTCTGGGAGCTCCATAACAGCACAGCCACAGAGTGATTGGATGGGCAGCTACAGAACTGTTAACAGCGCTGCACATTCTTTTCATTCAAAAGATTTGTAAAAGTTAAAATGTGTTTTATTCCGCAGCTCTCTCCTGTTTGATCGTTGCAATGGCTTCTGTAGTGACGACCATCACCGGCCTCTCCACTTCCGCCATCGCCACCAACGGATTCGTACGAGGAGGTATATATGTCGCTTTCTTTTCTCGAGTGATAGCATGTCTGTAGTCAGAAAAGCGTGTGTCACAAAAGCAAAACACCAGCGATTTACTTAAATCCTCCTATGGAGCAGCAGAGTTCTCACATCGGCCTCTTCTGGCTGTTTGGTGTGAAATGAGGTGATCTACATGTGTGATTTTAACCAGCGTGACCAGCTGTCAGTTATCCATCACGGTGCAGTGTTGTGTGTTTCACCCTTCTTTCATCTGATTCCACATAAAGATGCACACACACATTTCCCGCAGTCGTCTCAGTGAGAGAAGAGATTCAATGAGATCACACACTGAGTGTGTTGGAGTGAATGGAAGCTGGGTGGTTGGACAAGTCGCTGGATGGGGCAAGATGGGCTCTTAATTAGTTCATTTTGAGTTGAAAAAAAAGTTTAGAATAAATCCTACTGAAGTAGAAATTCAATTTTTGAACAGAACGAGACTCTTATCCATTAGGAGCACTAGTAGGAGCCAGAGAAACCTGATTGTTTCACAGATTATCTGTCTCATGTTCTACTGTCAGGATATAGTAAGTTTCAGCAAATATGACTAAAAGTTATTTTTTATAAACGTCACCTACTGCAGCCTTAAAGGTTAGTTATATGCTTGAATTCAAATATACTCACACATAATCTAGTGCTTCGTCGACACAGTCACTCATGAGAACCAAAAATGTAATAATTGACTTGACTGAATGATTAAAATTAACCCCTCTGTTTGTTGTCGCTAGTCATTAATAGCTAGATAGGTCCTCTGTTGATCCCTGACTCTGAGTACAGGCAGGTTGTTTGTAATTTTAGAGTGAACAACACCAGAATTCCTAAGGTCATTGGAAGATATAAAGGGCTGGATAGAAGCCAGAGGTGTAACGTAGTGGCCTTTTTGAAGAACGTTTGTTGTACTTTAGCCATGCCGTGTGCTATTATTTTATTACTGTAAATTCTGTTGATGCTCTATACCATGTGACCATGGTCATGAGCTGCAAATAACACAAATTAAATATAAATAAATACATGAATAAAATTAAATTAGCAATAATTAAATAATCATGATCAAAACATACAAATGGTAAATGGACCTGTACTTGTATAGTGTAGTTTCTAGTCTTCTGACCACTCAAAGCGCTTTTACACTACGTGCCACATTCACCCTTTCACACACATTCACACAGTGATGGTAAAGTCCATCAAACAGAAACTAACTCATTCATACACATTCACACACTGATGCACAGCATCAGGAGCAATTCGTGGTTCAGTATCTTGCTCAAGGATACTTAAAATGTGGCACCAGGAGCCGGGGATCGGACCAACAACCTTCCGATTAGCGGACGACCCGCTCTGCCTCTGAGCCGCAGCCGCCCAAATTGGTTAATATGAGTTAAAAAGAGTTAATGTGAACAGCTGGTAAAATGAACAATAAACACTGATTGCTGTGGGAAGGAATTCTGGCAAATATTTTTCTTGCATTTATAGTAACAATTTTGGACCCTCTTGAAAGTGAGAATCTACATCTCAATTCAATTCAATTCAATTCAATTCAATTTTATTTGTATAGCGCCAATTCATAACAGAAGTTATCTCAGGACACTTTTCAAATAGAGCAGGTCTAGACCGAACTCTTTAACATTAATTACAGAGACCCAACAGTACCACCATGAGCAAGCACTTGGCGACAAGGGCAAGGAAAAACTGCCTGTTAAAAGGCAGAAACCTAGGACAGATCCTCCGGCTCTAGGTGGGTGGTCGTCTGTCTCGACCAGTTGGGGTGAGAGAGAGAGAGAGAGAGAGAGAGAGAGAGAGAGAGCGACAGACAGACAGACAGGTGCACAGCAACAACAGTATTGGCAATGGCAGTCAAGCAGGACCATGGCAGGAGGCTCCACCAGGATCCATGAGAACCTGCGAGACGAGAAAGCACAAGAACTCCGGGGAAGAAGTGGAGTTAGTAACATGCATTAAAGGGACATGAATGAGTGCAGAAAGAGAGAGGAAGAGAGTAGCTCAGTGCACCATGGGAAATCCCCCGATAGTCTAGGCCTATAGCAGCATAACTAAGGGATGGTTCAGGACTCACCTGATCCAGCCCTAACTATAAGCTTTATCAAAGAGGAATGTCTTAAGCCTACTCTTGAAAGTGGTGAGGGTGTCTGCCTCCCGAACCACAACTGGAAGCTGGTTCCACAGGAGAGGAGCTTGGTAACTGAAGGCTCTGGCTCCTGTTCTACTTTTAGAGACTATAGGAACCACAAGTAGCCCAGCATTCAGAGAACGTAGTGTTCTAGTGGGGTAATAGGGTACTATGAGCTCTTTAAGATATGAAGGGGCCTGACCATGAAGAGCTTTATAGGTGAGGAGGAGTATTTTAAATTCAATTCTACATTTTATAGGGAGCCAATGCAGAGTAGCTAGTACAGGAGAGATGTGATCTCTTTTTCTAGTTCCTGTCAGTACTCGTGCTGCAGCGTTCTGAATTAATTGGAGCGTTTTAATGGACTTATTGGGGCAACCTGATAATAAAGAGTTGCAGTAATCCAGCCTTGAAGTAACAAATGCATGGATTAGTTTTTCTGCATCTGTCTGTGATAGTATGTGTCTAATTTTTCTAATATTACGTAAATGAAAGAAGGCAGTCCTAGAGGTCTGCTTTATGTGGGAGTTAAATGACAAATCCTGATCAAAGATAACTCCAAGATTCCTGACAGTGGTGCTAGAGGCCAAGTTAATGCCATCTAGAGTGACTATATCTTTAGACAATGAGTCTCTAAGGTTTTTGGGGCCAAGAACAAGAATTTCGGGTTTTTTCTGAGTTTAACATCAGAAAATTGCAGGTCATCCAGGATTTTATGTCCTTAAGACATGTTTGTAATTTAGATAATTGATTAATTTCATTGGGTTTGATTGATAGATATAACTGCGTATCATCTGCATAACAGTGAAAGTTAATGGAGTGATTCCTAATAATGTTGCCTAAAGGGAGCATATATAAAGTAAATAGTATTGGTCCAAGTACAGAACCTTGTGGAACTCCATGACTAACTTTAGTATTTATGGAGGATTCATCGTTAACATGTACAAACTGAGTACGATCTGATAAGTATGACTTAAACCTCAAAAAACTATCCTTTCAATAAATTCAAATTTAGCTGTGATTAAAAAGGCTTTGAGAGTCTGCAAAGTTACCTTGAAAAGTGCTTTTTTTAAGCTCTACGAACCCGGATTTTTTGTTTTGTTTTCTATGTGGAAAAGACATTTTTAAGTGATAAAAGATAAAGGTGGCACATATATATAATCACATCTTAAGATAGCTAGCTAATGTTAGCAAAATACCCACTGTAAGAAATACCATGCACAGCCATACACACTGTTTCAAACAGCTGATTGGCAGTGTGATATGTGATATAACCTTGATGTAGAACATGGGCTGCTCTGGAGACCTCTCCCAGCTGCTGCTTTTGTGTGGCTGTGGAGTTCTATAACGCTCTACACTCTGAGAGGATAGTGCATAATTCATTTGGGCCATTGTCTGTATATAAACATGGACGACATGACAGCTCCCTGAAAGTGAAGCCAAAACATCTCAGTCGCCCCCTGGTGGCTGGCTGCAGTATAGGACATAACACCCGCTGCCTCTGTGTTAGCAAATGGGAAAACTAAAAAATCAAACTACACATCAAATAAATTTTGGGCAGTTCTTATCATTCATGCCATCAATTCTAAGTTTTCACAACAGTTAACTTTTACCAGTATCTTGTTCGTTTGTTTTTAGGTGGAGCATATTACTTGATTTCGAGGAGTCTGGGCCCAGAGTTTGGAGGCTCTATTGGTCTGATCTTCGCCTTCGCCAATGCAGTGGCTGTAGCCATGTATGTGGTGGGCTTTGCTGAAACAGTTGTGGAACTTCTTGCCGTAAGTCTCCCTGTGTCTTATGGTGCTTTTAAGCATTTAGTGATTGCTACCATGTCTTTTGTCTTGTTGGTGCAATTCTACCAGTCCAACTGTGTTTTGAGTTCATCCGTCCCTTTCTTCTGCTTTAGCAGTCAGAGGTAGACAACTCAACCCAGTATCTTCCAAAAAATTTTGGTACATAATTCCCTTTTGTGTTACTCAAAAAAAAAAAACAACGTGGCGACAGCCATAATGCCGGTATAAAACGGTACGCCACAAACCAATGGGTAACGTCACAATGGGTTCACACTTGATTCAGGCTGCTCACCCTCATATTATCTTCAGGTAAACTTTGGAATGTATTTTTACACAGAACAAGGACTTTGTCCTCCATGACTTAGATTTGAAGTACTTTATAAAGGAATTTCTTAATGGTTGGTATGGACATGAGGAGTGATTACAGCGAGCAAAAACATTTGTTTTATGTATTCTTATGCAGGTTTGTTTATTATCCGCTTCAACATTTTGCATTTGAATTGCAGTTTAATTTTTGTCTTTAAAAAGTATAAATACATTTAAGAGAACTTGAATGTTTGCATTGGTAGTTCATTGTTTTTCCATTTAACAACTCTTTGTATTGTCTCTCAGGGTGTAGATGCTGTTATGACAGATGAAATCAATGATATCCGAATCATTGGCACCATCACAGTAATCCTGCTCCTGGGCATCTCTGTAGCCGGAATGGAATGGGAGGCCAAGGTATGAACGTGCTCAAGTCTTGCTAAATTCTGGGCACAAAAAAAACCAAGACACGCTGTATGATTGATGCATTCATTGGTCTAAGAGTAATAATAACTAATGAGTTCCTTTGGTTCTCTGTAGGCTCAGATCTTCTTGCTTGTTGTCCTCATCACAGCCATCATCAACTACTTCATCGGAACCTTCATTTCTGTTGAGTCCAAGGAACCTTTTGGCTACTTTGGCTATGATGGTACGACCACACACCGATTTTCTTTAGTAGCATTGGTGCGGAAAGTTTCGTCAGCTGCCTTTTTGAAACTCTATTCTCCTGTCAGGTTCAATCATGTGGGAAAACATGGGTCCGGACTTTCGAGGAGAAACGTTCTTCTCAGTCTTTGCCATCTTCTTCCCTGCTGCCACTGGTATTCTGGCCGGGGCCAACATTTCAGGAGACCTCGCTGTAAGTCACCTGTAACTATTAACCAAACCGCCTAAAAAAAAAAAAAAAAAAGATACCATACATTTCTAGGGGTTTATCCTGATGTAGTACAAAGCTGTCAAACCAAGCAAACCGATTGTCTTTCTGTGTAGATTCTTTTGTACTTGGACTTTAACATATATTAGTGGTTCTTCTATTGATTTCCTCTGTTGGAAGTAGTGAAACAAGTAACAGTGAAACAGGGATTGAGTTGAAGACCTTCAGCGTGGCATTAAGCAGATTGATGACATCATCTTAAAGCCCTTTATTGATAAGGATTAAACGGTTTGTGTACTTATAGATTGCTTGTAATCTTAAGTCTGTGTTGTGGTTGTGTGTTGCAGGACCCACAGCAGGCCATTCCAAGAGGAACCCTTCTGGCTATTTTGATCACAGGAATAGTCTACCTGGGTGTTGCTGTTTCAACAGGTGCAGTAGTACCTGCTATATGACATTCTCCATTAGCTTCTATCTGCCCTTTTTCAAGTATTTTAAAATGCTTTTTTCACAACAGGCTCCTGTATTGTGAGAGACGCCAGTGGACATGTTAATGACACAGTCAGCTCACAGTTCAAGGCCAACTGCACTGATGCTGCATGCAATTTTGGCTATGACTTCTCTACCTGCAAGAGTGAAAACAGCTGCCGCTATGGACTCCACAATGATTTCCAGGTATAAACCAGCTCTATCAGAAGAAGAGGTTTGGAGTATATTAGGAACATTTCAGAGAGTGAGGTTAAAATAAGTAAATAATTAAATTTACATTTAATCTTCCATTCAGGTGATGAGCCTGGTTTCTGGTTTTGGGCCCATCATCACTGCTGGAATCTTCTCAGCCACTCTGTCCTCAGCTCTGGCCTCTTTAGTCAGTGCACCAAAGGTTTTCCAGGTAAGACCCAACCTAAAATACATCAAGGCATCTAACAAATTACACTCAAAACTAGTGAGGGATTTACTTTCAGGTGTGGATTGTAGGAAATTTTGTAGTTTTTGATTACAAATGTTCCATTTCCACAGGCTTTATGTAAGGACAACATTTACCCCGGCCTCGGCATGTTTGCCAAAGGCTACGGCAAAAACAACGAGCCCCTCCGAGGCTACATCCTGACATTCGTTATCGCTCTGGCCTTCATCCTCATCGGTACGGCTACACACACTGCTCATTTTTACTCTAACAAATCAGGCATTGTTATTGTGTAAGATGACAACACTATTAAAACAAGACTAAAAGCCTGGAGACTGCAATATTCTTTACGCTCCATAATATGTAAATATTAATGACAAAATTATTTGCTACAGGTGTGTTACAGGTCTATAATTTCAGAATAATTTCCAAGATGTTTCTTGCGCAATAAAATTTGGTACTCATTTTAGGAAAATTATGGTCCCAAAAATAAAGTGATTTTGCTGTTTTAGAGTCTTTTCCATTTAAAATATTAAGTTTGACAGTAATATGACACTGCAGAACATGGTCTGATGGTGGCGTTACAGGAAATGTTACCCTTCCTAAGTCCCTTCCCTTTTTGGTACCTTGGTCACCTTTCTCCTTTCCTGCTAGGCTATGTGCTAGACTCTCTGTTTGAATTTGAATATTTAATCTGATAATAAAAAATAAACAAAATTAAAGCTGCAAGCAAGCGATGGACGGGACCTCGCACTCCACGCAACTCGGGGCATGCTGCGGCTGCGTCACATGCCGTCGTAACACATGCGGACCACGACTTGAAAATCTCACGTAAATCAGCTCAAAATTGCCACGCAGCGGTTGCTTCCTGTTGCCAGTAGGTGGCGCTGTCACTATGTCTGAATATTGTCATGTAGACGTGTTCAGGGCAGGACTCTTATCAAACACGTGAAGTTTCATTGAGATTGGACCATGTACGCTGAAGTTATGAGGACATGTTCAGGGCGAGACTGTTACAGAATATATGAAGTTTATTGGAGATTGGACATTGCACACTGAAGTTATGAGTACTGTTTAATGGAAAATCGTCTGAATTCGACAAGTCGTCACTGGCACACGGTTTGACGTACAGTCACAAATAGCTCAACTCTTCATCTACAGTTTGTTTTTATAAGACTGTCCAATTTTGAAGTAGATTTGATAAGTCCCCTATTTATCTTGCAATTTAATACTTGACTTCCAGCGGTTTCCTACTGTACTCCACGAACAATATTCCCTAGGAAATATGGTTTGTAGATGTGACTAGTGGGAGTGGAGGGGTGTTTTATCACTTTGAAAAAAAGACCACAGAATTCAAAATGGCCAACTTTGACGAGACACCACGGACACGTCCTTCAACGTACAGTCACAAAATGAACAGCGTACATTCAGCACCATTTTTTAACTGCACTGACCAATTTTGAAGTAGATCCAATAAAACCTGTAGGAGGAGTTAGTTAAAATAGAAGCCCTGAAATGCCAAAAATGACATCACAGTGACATTCGTTAAAAATGGCCAACTTTGACGGCACGCCACGGACACGCCCTTCAACTTACAGTGAAAAAATGAACAGCGTTCATTCAGCACCATGTTTTGACTGTACTGACCAATTTTGAAGCAGATCCCAGAAATTCTCTAGGACGAGTTCGTTCAAATGCAAGGCAAAAATTCACCGAAAATGACCATGGACTTAAAAATGTCCAACTTTGACGGCACGCCACGGACATGCCCTTCAACGTACAGTTACAAATTGAACAGCGTTCATTCAGCACCATGTTTTAACTGTACTGACCAATTTTGAAGCAGATCCGATAAATTCCCTCTGGAGGAGTTCGTTCAAATACAAGGCGAAAATTAACCGAAAATGATGGCGGACTTCAAAATGGCCAACTTTGACGGCACGCCAAATACAAGCCCAGAAAGTGAAAATGACCACAAAATGGCCGCCAAGCGTGAAAATTTACAATTAAAATAGCCAACTTCCTGTGGGATTTAGGACATGGGTCGAAGAGGCTTTTTTGTACGTCTCGGCACATTACACATGCCTACCATGCCTAGTTTCGTACATATCGGTGAAACGTGGCGCCGGGGCTGCTTTTTTAAAATCCTGTAGGGGGCGCTACAAACACGACAAACACGATTTTGGGTATGTGAGCTACAGGCACCAGTCTACACGTGTCCTGTGAATTTCATATTCATAACTATTACGGTCTCTGCAGAGTGATTTACCCAGCCACCAGAGCGCCACCTAGTGGCGTGATTTTTTTTCCTTTTTAGGGGACCCTCAGGGAGCCATGGGCAAGCATCGTACCAAGTTTAATTTTAATCACACTTGCCGATGCAGAGATATAAACTTCTTCATTTTAAAGAGCGCCACCTTGTGGTGATGACCTGAAATTGTGCACGATACATAATGACGACATGAGGAACTATTGACCCAAGGTTGGTGTAAATCGGACATACCAATGTGGAGAAATACCCCACTTCCTTTTTTGACGACAAATCAACAGGAAGTGCTAATTTTATAACTTGAAATATCAAAATACTTTAAATTACTTTTTTTGCCAGGACGGTCTCCAGATGCTACGTGCAAAATTTCGTGCGAATCGGACAAAAGTGCATGGATGGATCACAAAAACGTAGTTTTTGGACATTTTCCACTCTAGCGAAAAAAAAATCTAGGCGGAAGTGGGCGTGGCCTATATGGGGAGATTCAGCTCCATTCACCGAACGCGTGGATATAAGGTTTTTGAATGTGAGACAAAGTATGCGGGAGTTATTAGCCTATCAAACTTTTCCTAAAAGTAGCGCCACCTAGTGACCTACCTAGTGGCTGATCTGCATGTGACGCATAGAATATCTAAGTTAAACCAGACTTGACAAGTCTGCCAAATAAAATAGAAAGAAAAGAAAAAGAATGATGATAAACCTTCCAGTTGTCACTGGCTCGGTCCCTAATAAATTATATATAGTCACATTTTAGCTTGGTTAATGTTGGCTAATAATAACAAAAGGCTAGCTGGCTAGCTAACTAGCTAGGTAATCTACAGTAATTGTTGATTAGCTAGCTGGCTAGTTAGTGTTTTGCTCTGTAGCAACACACCAGATAACTAGCTTGATAAGGGCTAATGTAGATTAGCTAGCTAATTAGCTTGAGTTTTGTTAACATTAGCTTACTTGATATGACTATATATCGCTTTTCTAAAAAAAATTTTTGTCCTTTTCATGCCTTTATTAGATAGATCAGCTGAAGATAGACAGGAAAGGTGGGTAGAGAAAGAGGGGGATGACACACAGCAAGGGGCCCGGGTCGGATTCGAAACCGGGCCGCTGCAGCAACTCTGTATATGGGTCGCCAGCTCTACTGACTGAGCTAACCGGGCGTTCCTGCTTTTATCTTTTAGCCATCTTCAAAATGTGGTTGTCTTTTCAACATAGATTAGCCTAGCACATAGCATATCTAAGTACAGGAAAATAGGAAATTGACCGAGGTTCCCGACCGAGGCTTGCCTAACTGCTATTGATCCACAGAGCAAAAAGGGACGGGACTTAGGAAGGGTCAATTCCTATAATGCCACCTGATGGGGTCATCAAAGGATTTTAGGATTTATCCCAAGGGGACTGTGGATATCCATTCCAAATTGACTAATAGTTCCGGTCAAGGAGTCCTAATTGTGGCACAGGGTCAATCTGTCCAGCTGTTGGCATATTTTCGCCAAGGTCTTGCTCATGGTGGTACTGTTGGGTCTCTGTAAATAATGTTTTAAAGAGTTCGGTCTAGACCTGCTCTATTTGAAAAGTGTCCTGAGATAACTTCTGTTATGAATTGGCGCTATACAAATAAAATTGAATTGAATTGAATTGAATTGAATTGAATTGAAATGAATTGAATTGAATTTTGATCTGTTTGATGGTCCAACGAATGGACTGACTGACTGGTTGCTATACTGAGTTCTTGATGTAAGCTTTTTCCAGAGTCATTTAGTTGAATCAAATCAGAAGCCAGTCTTTGGATCTTGCTGAAATGGACTAGAGGACATGAAATTGCAGGTTTGATTTGTTTCTGTTTCTTCTTGCAGCCCAGTTGAACGTAATTGCCCCCATCATCTCCAACTTTTTCTTGGCGTCCTATGCCTTGATCAACTTTTCCGTGTTCCATGCATCACTGGCTAACTCACCAGGTAAGATCAAGACCCAGAAATGATATAAGAAGATGTAAGACTAGATCAAGAAGTTAAGACAACATCCTATGTCTGACTGTAAAAGTGAGCAGCTATGATAGCAGAGTCACGAGTCATATGCTGTTTAACAGTGATTGTGATGGGAAATGATGGGGTTTCAAAAGGAATTACTTGAAGCACTTAGACATGTCCTGAGCTGTAGAGTGCCTCAAAGAGCTGAGAGCCAGTGTTTTACAGCTCACAAGACAGGTCCTATCAGACGGCTCATGGAAAAGCTGACCGAAAATCTGGGCTAGAATTAATGTGTGTTTTCTAGGTGTACTGCCGTAGCAGTCAGATGAGCATTTACAAGACAAGACTTTTTTTATAACCGGGATATTGATCAACATGGCTTTAAATGTGCCAGTGTAAGCCAAGTGGCAAACTGTTGTCCTGTGGCCAGATGTTGAATCTGGCATTAAAATAACCATAAACCAGACAACATGTAAATTACATGTGCAAATTAAGCAGGGTTATTACACAAGGAACAAAGGAGTTTTTTTTCCTTTTGCACTTTAACCTTGGTACTCTTTCTGAGGGAAGAGGTTCAAACTCAAGATGCAGGGGGTGGTTTGAGAGAGAGAGAGAGCCATCAGGGGTTTCTGTGTGACACCTATCACCTTCACAGCAACCGTAACAATGTGGTTCATGTGGTTTTTATCCTTTATACTTAACTTACCTTACCAAGCAATCACAGAAGTAAGAACAGATTGAATAGAAGACTTACAAGAAATGCAAAAATAAAACAAGGACATAATTTTCCTGTCCATGTTAAAAGCATTTAAAGTTATCAGTGGCTGTTCCAAGATGCAGTTATTATACTGTTAAAAAAAATTCACTGCCAGTTCAGGTGAAGCATAAGAAGTAAACCTAAACTTGGAGTGAAGTAGAAATGCAGATGCCAGTGTTTTGGTTGCATAAAAAAAGTTTTCCTAAAATTTGATTTTTTTAAAATATATCGCCTTACTTACTGTAACGTATACCAATATGTTGAATGGTAACTACTGTATTGTGACATGTAGGATACATGCCAGATTCTTGCCAATACACAGCCATATTTATCAGCAGATAGTTTGCTCACTTTTCATGGAACTGTAGGCAAAAAAAGTTATTCTGTGAAACTTTAGGGGGGGAACTTTTTTTTAAAATGGATTCATTATGTTTCCAAAAATCAAAGCTTTATTTATTTGGAAATCTCTGAGTTGTATCTACTTTGCTAGTACAATAAACCTCAAGTGTCAAATACAGTAGTTTGAAGAACAAATTATGAAAGGGTTTGTTAAATAGCAGATTTCCATTGCATTGTAATGTATATTGTCAAATTAAAAGACTTAGTAATGCCTATCACCCATACTTCCTTATTACTGTAATTGTAGCAATATATAATGCAGTCTAATGTAATATGTGGTGAAATAGGTCAGATATTTATGATATGGTTTATTAAGATGGCGCTTCCCATATCCCCCCACCCCCTCTGTTCAATCACTTTGTTTTTGCGTTGAAATATGTTTCTACACAAGTGTGTTGGTCACTGTTACTGAAACACTGTCGCATCAGATGAGTCATTTTTATATGATTTACTCGGTAATGATTATGACTGACAGTCAGTGTTAAATTGGGACAAAAAGCCTCTGTTACTTTGAAGCCCATTTTAATGTAGAGTACACCATTTCAGTGTGGTTAGGCCCTGCTGTTTACTGACTGATGCATCTGAACAGTTTGCCAGGAGCTATAATGTTCATGGGACAATGCAAACTGGAAATGTATCATCTGTGGAAAGTGAAGCGAGGGACTGATCTCTGAATATATTGCTAGTTATTTGTTCTCCAAAATTACAGAAAAGCATTTTCAATTACATTTTTGTTTTTAGCCCCTACACCCTTACCTCAAAAGGCTGTGTCTTTTACCAGGCTGCCATTGTGGATAATAATTTTAGTTAATTTGTTGGTTAAATAAAAAGTAATTATAATAAAACAATGGTATCCATCTATGCCGATAGTTTGAGGTTTTTTTGTCCAGGTTTTGACTGACTGGGTTAGAGCATCCTCGTCCTTGTGTTGTCCACCTGTTTTGGCTGTTTTCCTTGCAGCTTTCATAAAAATCCTGCTGGCTGATTAGGCTTGATAATACTAGCTGATAAAGATAAAAATAGCCTGCACAATCCTGTTTTTCCCTGTGTCCGTACCTGTGAATTTATATAAATATATTTTTTTGACCCATCTGACTTGACAAAAGGCCAAAATGAAATTAAACATACTTAACTTATGTTATTCATACATTTAGTTACTCGTGAATACTGAAAGCTAGATTTGAGGAGGGTTCAATAAAGAGAATCCGTACCAGATTTATATTAGTAAAAGGCTATAGAACCTTCACCTTAATTAAGATAGTTGAATTATACAGAGTGAATTTCTAAAAAAAAGAAATAAGAATCCATTCATTTATCAGTGTGGAAGCAGATATCTTAGACAAAGATACCTCGAAACCTGGATAAATGAAACCCAAACTATCTGTCAGAATGGAAGGTAAGAGAGGAAATATTTAAATTTTTTGTCATTTGGGTGACGTGACCTTTTTATCCTGTGGTGAAAAGCTGAATGAAATGTGTATAGTTGATTTTCTTTTTATACTGAGTTCTGTGCTTTTTCCCCCCTCAATACTAAAGCTCTAGCAGAACTCCAGGTACAGATTCTCTATCTGCTTTTAATTGCTACCAGCAGGTCAAATAATTACATGGACTTAAATGGTACATGACTCAATTAGAGGCAAGCAGTAATACAGATAATGGATTTTACTGCCTCTGCAACCACAAACCCCATTTGGTGCTCTGGCCTCTTCAGGGCCAATCTCTCCCCACTCTCAGGGACACATAAAACCCCTGCATGGGGCTGAGAGGAACAGCACCATCAATGTACCCTTTATGTCCTGTCATTTGTTTTAGACTCTGTCATTATGTAACCACACACAGTCTGGCTGTATCCCATCACTAAAATCCCACTAGTTTAGTTTCTGTGGTACTCGGTAAATAAACATGGTCCCTAATAGCTGGTATAACCCTCTGGTCTTCAGTCTAACAGGCTGCTAACTCCCATTCTTTAACCCAAGCACATATCCAGCTTCAACTTTAACTTTAACTTTATCCATGATTTTTAATAGCAACAATTACTATTTTTAGGCCATGTTAATGATGACAATCATTGTAAAAATGTCTCCTTTCTCCTTTTATGGAGGATGACCAGTGTCTCCTGATGTTTAGTCTTTTGGATTGCAGGTCTGGCTTAATTTGCTCCCGGTTAATGAGTTTTGACCTATTGGACTTAACATGCATACCCTCAGTTTACCATAATTAAAACCTTATACCCACACAGTATGTGACTAGTACTATCAGTGTGTTTGCTGTTCGCTGTCCCTTGCCTTTCGTTGCAGTATTGTGACTTGTTCTCATTTGTGCTACAGGGTGGCGTCCCAGCTTCAAATACTACAACATGTGGGTTTCTCTCGCTGGAGCTATACTGTGCTGTGTGGTGATGTTTGTTATCAACTGGTCGGCTGCACTGCTCACCAACGTCATTGTCCTGGGGCTTTTTATATACGTCAGCTACAAGAAGCCAGGTGAGTCACTAGGTGTTAATTTAGCAAAATTTGGCAAACGAGTTCATGACGTTTCCTGTTTCAGAGTTATAGAATTTCAGACAAACAAACCTTTATACCCTCATAGTAATTTTTAAATGATTCAAACTACAAAAACATGATACAACATGATATAACTTCCCACTGTTTCATTTCATTCCTTCACTGTAATCTGCACTCATTTCAAGGAAAAAAATAATAATTTAAAGGACCAGTGTGTAGGATTTAGCGGCATCTAGTGGTAGTGCATATCGCAACTCCCTCGCTTCACCCTTGCCTTCCGAATGTGTAAGAGAAACTATGGTGGCCATGAAACACACTAAAAAACACATGTATCTAGAACCAGTATTTGGTTGTCCCTTCTTGATTATTGTAGAAACATGGTGGACTCCGCCAGAAGAGGACCTGCTCCCTCCAGATAAACACAGCTCATTCTAAGGGAAAGAAAACACAATGATTCTTATTTTACACTTGTACACTATACACTAATGAAAACATACCTATGAATATTATATTACATTTCTGACTATAGATCCTCCTAAATGTTACACATTGGAGCTTTAACATCTTTTGATATGGAATAAAATGGAAAAATACTAGAAGCAGGGTTAAAAATGCTAGCCCACAGTCACCAAAAGTAAAAAAAACATTCACCGTCCATCAAGTCAGTTTTATTTACATAGCGCATTGCTACATAATACTGATCTGTCAAGTTACACCCCCAAACACACTTCCTTGCACCGCTTCAAAGGCTGGCCTTCCAGCTCTCAACACACACCTGTGTGCACACACTCAGTTTGACATGCAGCTACACACACATACGAGGCCTTCTCAGTGCCTGTAACACCACATGGGTCAGACGGCCTTAGGCCCAGCAGGCCCGACCCGTAAACACACTCCCTAACCACACTGTGCGTTTCTGCCTGCATGCATCCTCCACCTCCAGATGTGAACTGGGGCTCATCAACCCAGGCTCTGACCTACCACCAGGCCCTGACCCACACTCTGCACCTCAGCGGCGTGGAGGATCATGTCAAGAACTTCAGGTACCACACACAGAGAAGCTCCCCTACTAGCTAACTAACTAAACATGCATGTAGTGATACTGTCATTAATGCTGCAGCAGGCAGTGTTTTCATGAAAGAATCCAGCCATTTCAGAGTTGTAACCCTGCGGGCTAATGTTTTATCATATACAGTAAAACATTAGCCTGCAGTGTCTTGTATTTGTCGTAAAATATGAGAACTGGGAATGAGACTTAACAATCAACTATCTTTAACCCACCAACCCAAAGCGTCTTTCTGTCTTTCTCGACTCTGATTGGTTGTTTTCTTTCGGCCCAGTGGATTCCTGCAAATTCTATTAGGAGCACCAGGAGCCAGAGGAACCGGATTTTTACACAGATTATCTCTCTCATGTACTACTGTCAGGATATAGTGACAGTTTCAGTAAATATGACAGTTATTTTTCTAAAAGTTACCTACTGCAGCTTTAACGCATATGAATTATAGCTGACCTTAAAATAAAAAATCCAAGACATTAAAACTCTAAGATGGTCTTATTCAATAACCTTAACCTGAACAGAAAATGCTGCAATGGCACCAAAAGCATGTACTTTTATAAATATATCCACCATGTTCCATGTGTTCATTCTCTAAATGCTTGCACATGGCATGGTGGTGTTTTTGACGACATATTAGTGATAATGTGTCTTTGGACTGTTCCCATGGCAGCAAACCGAGCAGGAGATTAAAAGGCATCTGATGGTGTCTCCAGAATGACTCGTGTGTTCCTCTGAGCTCCCTCTTGTCTCTTCTCACCGCCTCCATTAAATCCCATGGTGCTTAACATATTTGCTTTGATGTGCGCTACTCGGCTCCTGCTTCTTTCTTTTTTTGTCCTGTGCTAAGAAGACTTGTGGCCAGAAGAAAAGGTCAGAAGAAAAAGTGGATGAAGATTTAAAAGTAAAACCTGACACTAATGCTGATATTTCCTGTTGGATGTGTTTGACTGTAGACCCCAGTGTTTGGTGATGACTGGGTACCCCAACTCTCGTCCGGCTCTCTTGGACCTGGTTCACAGTTTCACCAAGAATGTAGGCCTGATGATGTGCGGTCATGTTCGCACGGTGAGCTCATACTCTGTTATTGTTTTTCTTCTTGTCTTTTGTGTATTATAAAGTTGCTCTAAAAAAACAAATACTCCAATCACTTTCAGACAGTAATTAACCTTATCATTAGGGATATCAATATGAAACTTTCTCTCCTACATTTTAACCCTTTCCACTCCTTTGCTATTATATAGTAATTTTTAGTAAGTTGTAGTAGCGTGGGATCATGAGTCTTCACCACCATTGCTATCATTGCAGTCAGCTTCTCCCTGTTAGGATTCCTTCAGTGTTCATGGTTCACGAGGTTTCTACCAGGAGCCCAGTTATCCACAGAGGTCTCCTCCTCTCCAAAACAAACAGACCTGCTGATTAAAACCACTAAAAACACTGAATAAAGCAGTTCCACCTTAAAAATCACTGCTTCTCCCACACTGAGCTGCTGCTAATGTTAGCTCAGCTTGTTTCTCTGATAACTTAAGATCCAGACGTCCGATGACTAAAATCCTTCGTCCGGTTCAAATCTAGAGTTAAAAAGCACCAAGATCTAAACAGTGGATGGTAACAATGTGGCTTCAGACTGGATCAACAGTCAATGTATGACAGCTTCTGGCAGACAACCACAACGCTGACGCAGGCACAAAGGGGATATGACGCCATCGACAGGCGACCGGTGAAACGCAGCGTTACCTGAATAAAATGACAGATTTCTCTGAGTTTGAACATTGTTGGAAACATTTGGGATAATGGAAGTACACAACTCAACTACATATAGAACCTGGCTCTAGAGTGGTAGGTGGTGTTAAGCCACAGATGCAGTGACGGTACCCTTGCATAATAGTGTTCAGGGGGACTTGTTTTGGTGGAACATTTTCACGTGGGGAACAGAGCACTGCCAATAAAATGGCAAACTTCCTGCAAAGAAAGGGTAACTGCTACTAGCTTGTTGTTAGCAACCAGGGTAAGGTAACTGTGTGTAGGTTGCTGCCACAGAAGTGCTTCTTGTTGTTTCCCCAACAGTAACCTGCAGATAGCAGCATATTTAAGTACTGTTTATCTGCATTACAAGAAAGTTTGAGACCAGCCATTGTTTCCTGCTTGAGCCAAAACAGAAGCCCTTATCCAAAAATGGTCACTTCTGGCTTCATAAAATACAAGATAGCAAAGGCCCTAATGCCAAACTCAAGACTTCAAAACGGTTGTAAACAAACCAATTAATGATGTCACAGTGAGTTTACTCTCTGAGTCAGCTTAGAGCTCAGAAATGAGCACATCCGCGAGCCACAGTAACGATACAATTGATATGTTTGTTCCACTCCTGTATGCGCAGTGTAAAAAGCCTTTTACAAATCCCCTGCCAGGCATAACTGCTTGACAATGGAAAGTCCATTTTGATTGGATGAATGGGGCTCTGTGCAGTCCAGCAGCTCTCTGGCTCCGTGGAACACGCCACCCTTCACAAGTGGCCTCTGATCTGCCCTCCTGCCTGCTCCTATTGCTTCCATTAGGGAGAGAGAGAGGGAGAGAGAGAGAGAGAGAGAGAGGGAGAGAGAGAGAGGGAGAGAGAGAGAGAGAGAGAGAGAGAGAGAGGGAGAGAGAGAGAGAGAGAGAGAGAGAGAGATATTAAATGGTGTAAACATTCCCAGCTAATGGCATTACAGTTTCCTGGCTGAAGAGCATCTTTGTGAGCTAATTTCTTCAGAAATAAACAAAGTCCCTGATGCGGAGATTCAGTGCAGGACTAAATGTTGAGTTCTTCAGTCTGAAAATCTGGTTAAATGAAGCATCCTGTGACGTCTGACCATGGAAACAGAATTATCTCCACGGCCATTTAATTTGCTACAAACTTCCAACATTGCTAGTCAAGAATGTGGGATTAGTTATATATTCTGTGTGTGCGTGTCTGTCTCCCTGCAGGGCTACAGAAGGCCGAACTTCAAAGATCTGGCCACAGACCAGGCCCGGTACCAGCGCTGGCTGCTAAAGAATGAGAGCAAGGCCTTCTACACACCGGTGTTCGCCGAGGACATGAGGCAGGGCACGCAGTACCTGCTCCAGGTAGGAGAACGTCACAACCCACAGGGGTTCTAGGAATGAGTTCTCAAATGGGTTCTCCCTCTGTTGCTCTGGAGGCTATCTCTGAGTAAATGGCAAACAAATGCACTGAGATAAGTTAGCTGTCTGCGTGCTGAGATTAATTCCCAAGAAGCATTGTAGACTCGCACAAGTGCCAACAAGAAGTAGCAGTCAGAGTTGGTTTGGTGTTATCTTATTGTGTGTGTTTGTTTGTTGTGTTTCTAATGGCCCTGCATGTTGTTAAACTGTCTCAAATGATCTCAGTTCATGTCAAATCAACAATATTATTTTATAGCCCTGCATCAAATACGAGGTCTCATTAGGCTGCATAGAAACATTTAAACAATAGACCCCAAGCACAAATTCATGTGAATTTCCCTGCTCATTTGAAGATAATACTGGCATTATTCATATTTTAAATCCCATGAAAAGACCCACACCAACAATGTCTCTCAATACTTTCTTACTTCTCTACCCTGTCTGTCTCTCTAAGCTTCAGTCCCATTGTTCCCTACTGGAGATGTACTTTCATTTTAAAAAGGCATTAAATGACTCAACATTACACACAGGAGGAGGCATTTGTTGGGGACTATTTTCAGCGGTGGATTAATCCGTATTTGGGGCAGCAGGTCGGCATATGTGGGATTGAGTCCATGTGTGTGTTCATGATAATAAAGGTAGTGCAAGAGGTGTGGTTAATTGAAGTTTTTCACAGAGGAAGAAGAATATATCATGCTTTGATACACAGTACTAAGTAGCACTTACTAAATTGCATAATGGTCTTAAAATGTTCTTGAAAAGTCTTAAATTTAGAATATCACAAATATGGTGTTTTAACATCTGACCTTCTGGTGAGAATGAATTACAGATCTTCTGAAGGAAGATTCTTGAATAAATTGGTCTTATCCTTAATTCTATAGTCAGCCAAACAAAGGTGAAACTTGGTGAGCCTGTGAAACAGCATTGGTACTCCAAGTGCTCTCAGAGGTGAGTCATACTCGGTGCTGCCAGAGTTTCCATCTCAAGTGTAAAAACTGGCAGCGATAACTAGCCTGAGAGTGAATGTAATACCAGCAACAGGCCGAACAATCCACCCACAGTGTCTTTATTTGTTTTTCCTGCTCTAGAATGGCAGCGTCTTAGGAAAGCAGCCATTTTTTCAGAAATGAGCCACGGTCTGAATTCATTTGATTTCCTCTCTCCCTTTCAAGGCTGCTGGCCTGGGTCGCCTAAAGCCAAACACACTGGTGCTGGGCTTCAAGAACGACTGGAGGGACGGCGACATGATGAACGTGGAGACTTACATCAGTATGATCCAGTAAGTTGGCTTCAAAGAGACATTGAACCCTGAGTGGAAAGACTCACCAGCACGTTATTGTAATACAGTGGCTGTACTCGAAGTTCTCTACTGAAGACAAACAACCAGAGCTTAGAGCTTTGATGAGGCCTAAAAAAAATGGCATTTTGAGATAATCGGTATTGGCTGTCTGTACTCGCAAAGGTGATAAACGAAAGTTCTTCAGACACATCTGCAGTGTGGCTGCTGTGGAACGATGTTAATCCTCCCCTTAGTGAGTTTTGTGAAGATGGTGAAAAAGTTGCAATCCGCTGTAAACATATGACTGAATTTCCTGTAGAATAGAACAGAATTATACATGACTTTTCTTTGTTTTGATATTGGCATATATATCGGCCATCGCTCTCTAAATATCAAAAACTTTTCCTCTGAGGGGATTCCTTGAGACAAAAATCCTCTCAAATTGTGGATCTGTGGTCTATTGTTGGGATCGTTAAAATTAAAAAGTTTGGGAAACCTTGGATTAATGATTAATGCACTAATCCACTGCTTGATACTGATTCTCTATGAAAATGAATCATTTTTATTTAAATGTGACCCTATATTTAAAATGTTAAATATACAGTATATTACTAAATCCCATGTTTCATTGAAAGACCATATCTTCAAAAAAAAAATTTCTGCAAACATGTTACTTTAAAGCTGTGACTTTGAAATGAAATGTTCTGGTTCATGAATGAAGACTGTCTTTTGATAGTTACACGTGTGGGCAGTAGGGCAGCGTGCAGGGAGGCACATTTTCTGAGAGGTAGTCTACAGCTGACTGTTTTCAACCTATTTAGTCACTGCAGACTCACAGAAGCATAGCAACTCAGACTTTGAAAAGCAATGGAATAGACTATGGGGTAATATGGTCACACATATGCAGGCAGTGTGTCTCCTCGTACTGTATGTCATTAGTTCAGTGTTCTTACAGCTTACACAACAGCTGCAGCCGTTGTAGACGGTGCGTGTGAGAAGCGTCCCAGAAGTAGTTCTCCACTCTGCTCGGCTCAAGATACGCAGGAGAGACAAAAAGGAAAGCAATTTTACTATGTAGCCTACTTAGCCATGGTAGAAGTGCACAATACATTGGTTAAACTTACAAACTAAAACGTGAAGTAATCAATCACAAGAAATATCTGACATTGACTCAGTGTAAATCATTTATTCAATTTAACCTGTATTTTTTAACTCCGTACAAACTGTTTTCTGTAGGTTGAGCAAACCACTTATTTCAAGTTAGCCCAATTTTAAATCAGTGTCCACATCAACAAAATGTGAGCAAGTTAACTAAATCTGGACCAGGGCATGAACACTACAGCCACTTCTAAAACAGAATTTAATCTTCTGGAAATCTAGAACTATACCTGTCATGGAAACCTTGGAAAACCAATAAAATTTAGAGAGTATTTTTCCAGGCATAGAAACACTTGGAAATGGATGAAATTACCAAATATCCTGGTAATAATCAATGTAATAAATTAATGTTACGGTTAGAGGAAAACTAGTCAGTTTGAAAAGAGGGAAAATCAGCTGTGGTGAGAACACTCAAGCACGCCACAAAAGCGAGCTAACAGTGTCCCCTAAACAATTGTATCCTGTATTATCAAGAAAAACTCCTGGTAGATGTCCTGGAAAATGATTTCTTATAAAGAGAACTGAAGCTGTTACTGTTACACACCTCTTGTATGTATTAATAAGTACAGAAGTTTGTGAAATCCCTTCTCCCTGCTGAACCCTAAATCAGTCATGTGAGACTGTGAGTGAAGGACTTAAGCTGAATGAGTTCCTGATTGTAAAGTGTGGGGATTATGCTGAAGGTCAGAGATGGTTCAGCTCTAAAATATTAACATCACAGCTAATACGCTCAGCTATGTGCCCTTTACTTTCCATCCAGTGGATAGCCTGGGCAGCATACACACTGTGTGGTTCAACCTGCGGGACTACAAGAGATGTTTGGACCTGGTATTTGTTGTGTGCAGGTTCCTCAGCACTGCTTTTTTGTCTCCCTTTTTAAATGGTCCATGTCTCTATCTGTTGAGCATGTTACGCTTCAGTCTGTCCACTGCCGATGTCAATTTTTTATTTGTGTTTTTTTCCTCTCAGCGATGCCTTTGACTTCCAGTTTGGTGCTGTTATTCTGCGTCTGAAAGAGGGACTGGATGTGTCCCATATCCAAGGACAAGGTATCAAATGATAAACGCGAATGCATAAATGCACACACAACATGGCTGCAGAGAAGTGTTGATATCAATATGATTTTCAAATATTCAAATGTTACACAAAATGGCAGATCCCAAGTTCTTTCCACATATATTAAATCAGATAAACTGTTATTTAATACATGTCAGAACCTGATATTCAAATTAAAGTGTGTATAATTATAGCATGAACAACGAAAGTCTGGGGAAAAAAGTGGGCTACTTCAGCTTTTATTGTCACACTCCCATAAAGTTGAGGTATCTGTGAGAGACAAAAAGAAGTGGTCAAAAATCCGAACAGCAGAGGCCGGAATGGGGTGATCAACAAAAATGCTGGATCCTACATTTCCTGTAATGCAACATGAAAGGATATTTTGTTGATTTTATCATGTTATCTCAGCTTGGGCTTGGAGTCCTTCCATCTGAAGGCTTTGAGAAGAGTGACTGAAACGGCTGTTTGTTTCTCATCTATGTCTGTGAATTAAGTGTTTATTTCAACCAAAGCAAAGGTGGCTGTTGGAACAGTGGAAAGACTAACGAAGCGGTTTTGGTGAGTTTTGTTTAGGTTTTGTCCACAGGTAAAATTACTACTTTCTTTTTTTTGAATGGATCCTGGTGGCGAGCGAGATCGATAAATCGTCTGTTTCTGGTTAAACTTTTTAACAAAGGGTCTATCTCTGTAGGGTTACTTTCTATAATGTTGTCAGACACTTAGAATAACAATCTGACTCTGTCGGTGGGAGTACTTTGATGGACACATTTGTCCCCAAGGATTGTGCTGCTGCCATTTCACAGTTTTTTTGCAATTTCATCTAGATCCTTTCTTTCAGCTAGTGTTGCAGTGTGGCTCAGCTTTGCCTCAGCTGGCCTCTACTTAATAGTTATGAATCAGAACCCTCTCTACTTGGATCAAGTAGCTCATGAAAGTAAGGTGTGTCAGAATAAGTTGTCTACAGCTGTTATTTCAGTTTGTAAGATACATATTGAATCAACATTTAGGTAGCGCTCAGATTGTGACGGAGACCAAACTACTTGATTGGGACATTTTGGGAAATGTAGGATCAAGCTTTTTTTGAGTCCTGATTTATAGTTTTACATTTATTGTGAGTCACCCAACTTTATGGAAGTGAAATACTAAATCATTGGAGTAAGACTTTAATCGAAAAGAGATGCAGTCCCTTTCTGTGTGAAGGCTGCTTTACTCGATACTTAATTTCCTAATTCTCACTCTCTGTTTCCAATTGCCACCATCTTGTTTTTCCCCCTCCTTGCCTTATTTTCCCTTCTTCCTACCCCTCCCTCTCCCTCTCCTCCCATCTGCCCTGTGTTTCATTTTCCTCCCAGATGACTTGCTATCCTCCCAGGAGAAGTCCTCAGGGATGAAAGATGTGATCGTGTCCATAGACACCAGCAAAGACTCTGACGGGGATTCATCCAAGCCATCCTCTAAGGCCACCAGCCTCCAGAACAGCCCTGCTATACAGAAAGGTCAGCCAGCCTCAGCATCAATGTCTATACATTCATCTTAATTACGTTTCTTATTCCCATTTAATCCACAAGTAGACTTTAGAGGAAAGTTGTTTACAGTGACACTCAGCAGAGACAGTAGGGAAATGGAATCCTCATTTTTGCATATTCAAGCCATTTCAGCTCTTATAAACAATAAATATTTTATGGATGCATTATTCACATCTCTAGGATTGTTTAGGCTGCATGTGTGTGTTTTATATTGGACAAACACCGGTTCAAGTTGTGACAGAAGGTGGCTTTTCATCCCGGAAATCAGTTTAACACATTCTTAGAGATCCCTCTTAATCCATCAATAGCTTCCCTTATACACACAGCTTGCCTCTATATACACACACACACACACACACACACACCACTGCCCTGACAGGAAGTTGCTTCAGTGACCCATGACCCCAGTCTTCCCACTGGGCCCAGTTTGTTAGTCCACAGATGTCGTGTGTGTGTGTGTGTGTGTGCGCGTGCGCCCACACAACTCTGAGCAAGCAAACAAAGAACCAGATTGTGGGAACTGTAGTTCCAAATATTCTCCAACTCCAGCCTGAGCAGCAGGCCTTCATGAAGACTTGCCTATGTCACCCAGATTTATTTCCATTAATTACTTATTGTAATAACTTGATTTGTATGTCTTTGGATGGAAAATGGACTGCCTTTCTAGTCTCCGTCCATACATACACTCTCAGTCCAGTGGCACAGCATCGAGAGAAATTTGGGTTTCAGTATCTTGCCCAAGGCGTCTTGGACATGTGGACTGGAGGGAGCCAGAGGTCGAACCACAAATCTTCTGATTAGAGAATGGCCTGCTCTACCTACTGATCTACGGCCATTATTTTGTATTGCTATAAAGTTACTGTCAATGAAATTCATCACTTCCTGCAGATGTTTCACATTTAAAAACCTTGTAGTGTCTCAAACATCACAATCCCTGCTACCCCCCTAGGCTTTTAACTTGAAACAACACCTGAGTATGACATTGCTGTGTTGTTGTACTGATGGAATCAGTGCTGTGGAAAAGGATAACACACACAGTTTACCATGCATGCATATTATAAAGAAGATATCAGCACCCCCCGTGTATTTTTATCATACCTTTTATCATAGGGGTGTAAGAAAATATTGCTACATGTGAGGATCGTGATATTTTGTTTTGTGATATTGTATCACTTCTCCAAAACACTATCGATGTTTTTGTTTAAACCCCCAACTGCTAGATTGCAGTGTTGTAAACGTAAACTGAAGGCTGTTTGGGCTGTGTATTAGCATTAATCTGGTGATACGTATCATGATACAGGGGTTACAATTCAATATTTTGTGGTACGTTGCAGCCTGTAAGGAAGATACTGTAAGGTGATATATTGAGACTATTTACTTTTTTTAACCGGAGTTTTGTAAAACTGTCATAGTATAAAGAACACGTCGCCATATACTTACAAAGTTTCTTCATCATAGTCCTCAGTTTACATGAGAATCGATACAATATCACAAAACAAAATATCGTTTGTACCAATATTTTCTTACACCCCTAAGGGATATGGATGTTACAGGGACTGTGACAAATCCAAATGCAGATTCCACTGTTCTGGTAGCATGCATTTTTTTTGACTCAGATTTATTGATCTCTTGAATCGTAACCCCTGTATTATGATAACGTATCATATCACGTGAGATTTGTGCCAATACACAGCCTTACTTTATTAGGGACTTTGTTTGTACCTGCTGAATACTGAGTTACCACATTGTAGTATAGAAATAGGCATTTATTTATCAATTTCTATTCAGCATATGCTACTAGTGGTAATTAACGTGTACCCTAAATGGAGGGTGCCACACACATTGTGAACACGTGGGTCTGGTGAAGGCACAAGAGGTAGTGAAGTGAAGATGAATGCCCTGATTTGGGTAATCCTCTTAGTCCCAGCCAAAGAGTCCTACCTGAGCCGTCATTACCACGGAGCCTTAGCCCTGTCCCCCTCCTCTTTTTGGAGTTAATTTCCATTCTGAGTCACCTTCCTCACTGTGTGAGATTTTTATTTCAATTCGAGCATAGTCTCAGAGTAGTACTCTTGAAAAGCTTCAGAAAAAGGTAATTGTTTTCCATGAGCGTGTTAGCATGTAGCTCACAGCTAACTGTTTTCCTCAAGATCATGTGTGTATGTGTGTGTCTGCTTTTTCATAAGTTTACATTTACTGTTGTACTTTACTCCATCTTGATCTTGAAGAACCCTGGGTTGTAAGTCGATGGCGCATCAAATCAACATTTCACTTCCTGTTATGATTTGTTTCTCTCCTTTTGTCTCACATTTCCCAGATGACGACGATGATGGCAAAGCTACAACTCAGCCCCTGTTGAAAAAAGGCAGGAGATCCACTTTCTTGAGTTGCCTTAAAACATTTCTCTTGCTTCCTCTGCTCTATTTTTATGTCTTATCTTTTGTGTGCTCCATTCTTCTTAAGTCATATTTTCCGTTCCTTTCGCTCTCCTTTCTCTTTCTATCACCTAATTTTTCACAGTATATTTTAAATTCATTTTGTATTAACACACCGTCCTGCACCCTGCAGTTTCTGTCTTGTGTCTCTTCCCGTCTGTCCTGTATTTCAGGCTTTGTGGAATAACACTTCTTTTCCTCTCTTTTTTCCTGCTCTCCTGTTAACAGTCTCCAGCTTGTAGCTCCAGCCCAGTCTCTGAAGCTGTATTGTATGTGATAGTGCCTTCAACTCAATCCAAGTCTTGAGTATTTTTAATGTCGCAAGTGTGTGCCAACATTTCAATTTCCTCCAAAGTGTCTTCCGTCTCTCTTGCCTGCTGCTTCTTGTCCCTCTCTGGGGGTGACGGTTTGTCTGTAGCTTTCTTTTTCCAGGATGAAAACTGCTCACCTGTTTTCATGTTTCCAGCTAACTACTCACAGCTTCTCTCCCTGTTTGTTTGCTGTTGTCAGTGTTGATGGTGTTGCCCCTGTGGTCATTAAGCCCAAATTAAAGAAATCACCCACACTAAAGAAAAATAGTACTTACTGTATATCAAAAAGTTTTAAAAGACAAAAAACTCACCCTTGGTCAATTTAATACTTACTGTTTTTACTGTTACACCTTTACTTGGGATGCTAACACCATTAGCTTATGGCAGCTAATTTGAGCAAACTTTGAATAGGTATTGCTGTGTAACTGACTGTCTCTTCACATAAAGACAATAATAGCAGTCTTTCAGGTTTTAACTACAGGTGAGCCTTCCTAAGTCCCTCTCATTTTGGAACCAACTACAACAAGGAGTTCGGTCTGGACCTGCTCTATTTGAAAGTGTCCTGAGATATGAGACTTCTGTTATGAATTGGCGCTATACAAATAAAATTGAATTGAATTGAACTAGCTGAGCTAGCTAATGATTAATTTAGATTAGCTAGCTAGTTAGCTAGATAGTTTTGCTAACATTAGATTGTTTTGCTAATGTTAGCTACCTAGCTAGCTAATCTAAATAAATCATTAGCTAGCTAGTTAGCTAGATAGTTTTGCTAACATTAGCCAACTTCAAAATGTGGTTGTCTTTTCAACATAGATTAGCCTAGCACATAGCATATTTAAGTACAGGAAAGGAGGAAGTTGACTGATTTCTGACCTGGCTTGTTCAACTGTGATGGGAGCACAGAACAAAAAGGGATGGGGCTTAGGAAGGGTCAGTTTGCTTTTGTATCTCATTAGGGAAAGGGAAATACACAGACTAGTGAGGCACTGGCTCGAAGGCAGCAAAGATTGACTCAGAGTTATGAGTTTATAACTTTCCTCTCATTACTTTGATGCTCCTGATAAAGTTTTCTTGCACTCAATCCTAATTCGAGTAATTTAATGAATATCTGCTGAGTCCTGATCCAAAACTCTGAGAGACAGACACAAACAGCTGAAAGGTGGAGAGTTGACAATAGCTGCACTCATTGCTGTGCATGAGTAAAACACCTATGTGACAAATAAAACAAAGGATCTAATCAGGCTCAAAATACTGGGACTGGGACATCCCTAATTTTCAAACATATTGGTGATTTTGAGGTAATACAACATTTTGCTAAAACAAGCAAAACTGCTGGTATGGTGCAAACACCCAATAGAACTATCTGCTCCAAAACCCACAATTCAAAGAACTTCAAAATAATCTACAGGGGAAACACTGATTTGCAACTGTAGCGCTGATGTTTAGCAGCTTGTCTATTCAGTTTTAGTACAACTGTTTTAAGTGCTCACCATCACACCTTTTTTTTATGAAACCACAGAACTATCACTCAAACTCAACATTATCCTACAGACACACTCATCAGTCAACATTCCACATAGATTGTCCATAACTGACACATCCAAACTACACACAGTCTACCTGGGACTGTTCCACTCTCAGGACCTTTAACAGGCCAGCAAATGATAATTAATAATTACAGTTGTATGTTGCAATCTAAATAAGCTTGTGTCTGTGTGTCTGTGTGTGTGTGTGTGTGTGTGTGTGTGTGTGTGTGTGTGTGTGTGTGGCAATCATCCCTGCAGACAAGAAGAGCCCGACTGTACCGCTGAATGTGTCTGACCAGAGGCTGCTGGAGGCCAGCCAGCAGTTCCAGAAGAAACAAGGGAAGGGCACAGTGGACGTCTGGTGGCTGTTTGATGACGGAGGTGAGTCTGGGAGAAAGACATTTGTCTGGTTTTGGAAGAGTAGTTATCCAGTGGTGAATGTCGCCATGTTGTCCAAATAGCTGTGAGCAGTGGTGCAGTTTCCACTGCATCAGGCAAAGAAAAAGAAATGACACCTATGCAAATATATGCCAGCTGGGAAGCATCACCTTTTTGTTGCCAATGTAGAATCAATTTGTTGGAAGGTAATGTTTTAATTCTTTGCACATTTTCATTTGTTCACAGAGAGAACATACATTTGGTGTATTGACCCTGAAACGTATGAAAACACACATTTTGTACAGTTATTATGACTTATTTATTAGTCATAATAATAATCATAATTTTAGATAATAGTAGATGTTATTATGACTTAACATCTCTTAATTTTATATATACAGAGAAAGAGGGAGAAACAATATAGGTGTGTGCGTATATGTGTGTCTCGGGGTAAAAGACGAGGAAAAGCAAGCTTAGCAGATTAGTTCTTTTTTAAATATAATTTTGAAAATTATATTTAATAATTAGTTTATTAGTGGGACAATTGTCATTTTTCATTGTATCCACACATTTGTACAATATATTGCAATATTTGTACATTTAAAATTGTATCAATCAAAAAAAAATACATATACAAAATACAATTTTGATATGATTTCTGACCCATTGGAACTAGAGTATCATATGGTGCAAGGAATCTAAAAGCCATCTTTCCCACATCAGTGTTAATTCTAGGAACCTACAGCAGTAGCCAGTCTTGTAAGCCGGTGTTATGTGCTCTAACCCTCTAACCAATAAGTGACATCCAATATAGGGACAATTATTGGAGAAGCCCTTTAAAAATAAAATGTATCCATAAAAAGTATTTCAAATTACAACTGAAATTTGTTTTGGAAAAAAACATATTATATTGTCCAAAAGAAATACTGTTTGTAAAACATTGTATTATAATAAATGCAGTATGAGTAATATAAAGCAAAGTGATTTTAGCAGACCACTGTCAGCAGGACAATACAGATACTCAAAATTGCAAAGAAAATAAAATGACAGATCAATCCACAGCTTTTAGGAAGATCATCTCTATCAGTGATGTGTCGATCAGTGGAGCTGACAGGTTCCATATGTTAATGACATCCATTACGGGGCGGCATCATTTTGGGAGGCTGTCAGCCCAGCAGGGTGTCAAGAAGTGAACAAGGCCAGAGGCATGACTCATGTGTTCAAGACACTGTGACATGTGACACTTCAAATCTATCATCATCATCATCATCATCATCATCATCATCATCATCATCGATCTCTTTGGTGCACGCAGAACTGTTGTTGAGTGCAATGATCTCACTTCTGGCTCAGTTCTAAACTGCTGCTTATAGCAGATTTTGCGGATTTATATATCCTGCAGTTGAGGTCGTATTTCACAGCATTTGAAGTGAAATTCATTTGGCTCCAAATGTCACATTACAGCACCAGAATCTAAGACCAATACAATGGGCACGAGAGCCCACCAGACTCCATTGACAAAAACAATTATTTTACATTGTAGATCGTAACTTAATTCAAAGTTAATTCAAAGCTGAAACAGAATAAAATGAATCAAAACGGTCTTTGTTAGTCCTCCCACTGTTCCTACAGTCACCAACTCTGGAAATAAATCTTTAATTCACCGGTGTAGATTATAAAAACAGCAGTTTCAGTTGCGGAGCAGACTGGCTTTTAAGCAAACCACAGAGAGGCTGCGATAGCAACACAGACAGAGGGAGAGCAACACCATAACTCCACTATATCTTTACATAGAGAATAGTTGTTAGCTGCTATTTTAATGTTTTAAATCTCACATATGTGACCTTTTCAACTTTGGGAATAGCCATTTGAAAAAATATTCTTAGCACAAGGTCTACTCTTTTGTGCTGTACTGATGTTTTGTGTTGAGCACCTGTTGGATGCCTCCTGTCCAGGTCTGACCCTGCTGATCCCCTACCTACTGACCAACAAGAAGAGATGGAAGGACTGCAAGATCCGCGTCTTCATCGGAGGAAAGATCAACAGGATTGATCACGACCGACGAGCGTGAGTGCTGCATGTTCTTCCCAACCACAGCGTTGAGTTTGAATGTTAACACAAGTAGATAATACGAGATTAAATAATGTTAGTATATTTACCAAAATCAATAACCGTTGGCTTACTTTTCCCAAGAGAGTTATCTAAGATAAGAGTTATCTTGGCAGGTGATAACTTTGACTCTTTCAAAATGATTACCTGTTCTCGTCAAAAGCCTACATGCACCCTTGTATTGTTGTCAAAACTACTTACAATAATAATTCCAATATTTAAAGATAGTAGTAGTAGTTGTTGTTGTTGTTGTTATTATTATTATTATTATTATTATTATTATTATTATTAATCAATCATGAGCTTTTTCCTGGTTTGTGGCATTGGAATTGGATGAGAACAGGTCAATGCCCTATAACAGCCCTGGTGCTCTTGTATTAGTTTGCATTATGTTTATAGTTGACTACATTTACAGTACACGTTACAGTACTTCAAGTTCTGACCACCATATGTAGAAATGAAGGTGGATCAGACATTAGAAAGCCCTGTCATGTAAAAGCAGGCTTTCAGCCATCTGCTTTCCTTTCAGCACCACACTCGTGTGCTCAGCTGCTGCTGTCAACATGACAAACTCACACTGCAGCTACACGCACTGTATATTCTGTTGATGCTGCGTTTGCACATGTTTTGTTCATGTGTCAGCCATAAGAACTTGATCTATTCATCTACTGAGATGCACTCTAAATACTGACTACTAATACTGACTGTCATGTACATCACTGGAAGAATAGCAGCATGCTGACCAAGGTAACTTACATTTTAAATGTGGTGCTAATGTACAGCTCAGATAACACAACATTTAGTTGTAAATAATAAAAAACAAAACAAAAAACATTTTAATTGCCAATTGGGAAGTTTTCAAATTTGAAATTGGCCGTTCCAAAGTGACAGTTTGGTTGATGTCCTTGGCACAGACTTGTAATGAATGTAATCAGGACACTGCATAAAATGACGTGAAATGATTGATAAAAAAGCTTTTATAGAAGTCATAACTGACTCATCATGAGTCATAAAATCATCTTTTGTAGGTGTCAGAATGCAACACTTAAAGCCTCTAAGTCTGACTTAAAAGTTCACTTGACTTGACTGCCTAATTAATAAAGCCACCAAATGCTTAAGAACTAAATAAAATGATCTTTCTGATGCTTTTCACCAGCCAATATGGTTAAATACATTACTGATGACCAATTCACAAACACATTTCAAACTAATCAGCTGAAATAAACCCTTTATTCACTGAGTTAGATGTGAAAATATTGGTGAAAATGTAAGCTAACGTTAATCCATTAAAAGTTCTCAGATTGTTATTCTAAGTGTCTGACAACATTATGGAAATGAGACAGACCTGTTGTTTAACCAGAAACAGCTGTAATATTGCTATCAGTCCCACCAGACTCCATAGACAAAACCGTCTTTGACTAACAAAGACGTTTATTTTTTTCCCCCACTGTTCCAACAGTCACCAACTCTTATTTGGTTGAAATAAATCCTTAATTCACTGACATAGTTGATTTAAAAAACAGCAGTTTCAGTGGCTCTACTCAGCTGCACACAGAGCAGACCGGCTATGGAAACAAACCACAGAGAGGCTGTGATAGCAACACAGGCAGAGGGAGAGTGACACCATGACTCCACTATATCTTTACATAGAGAATAGTTGTTTGCTGGAAACTTTCTGCTGATAAAGGTGACAAATTGGACCTTGTGCTAGAAATACTGGATATTTTGTCAGACCGATTTCTCATCGTGATTTAAATTAAAAATTATGCCATTGTCATGCGGTTATCTAGTTGAGTGAAAATCTGCCCTAACCACTCCACTTACTGTTGTGCATTCAAGGACTCCACAAGAAAACTAGAAAGAATTAGAAATTAGATTAATGTGTGACTGGAAGCAATGAAATTAAACGGAAATATTCTGACTAACTGTGGAAAGTGGTCATCTGTAATGTCAGTTGTACTTTGTGGTTAATTAGCCAAAACACAGAAAAACCACCAGTGTGATCCTTTTTAAAGGAGGTTAAAAAAATAGACAAAGTAAATACAGCAGCTGCACACATCATGAGAACATCCTGTTTGCTGTGAGATTGTGTTCTTCCTGGAATCATCACAACCATTAGAGTGTGGTCAGTGGTCATTTCCTTGTTATTGTGGGGAGAAGCTTTTCTCATCATGTCTCATTACTCTTAATTATCTAACTTCACTCATATGAAGGCATGTAGAGTAGACAAACATTAGTTTTCCATTTGTTATCTATTATTATTAAAGTAGTTAGAAATTGCTGTCTTTCAAACAGTGAGATGAATATATTGATATCAATCTCATGCCTGTGTTAAGTACAGGGTGTACAAGTGTATAATAAAAAAATAAAATCGGATAATAAGAATTGTGTTCTCCTTACCTTAAAATAAGCTATTTATCTTCAGATGGAGCAGGCTCTCGTATGGTGGAGTCCGCCGTTGGGAGCCATTACTACAGGAGACCAGAATAGACAAACCAAACAATGGCTCTAGATAGAATTTTTTGCAAATTTCGTGGCCACTGTAGTTTCTCGTACATACTTGGAAGGCTGAGCTGTATTCAAATGTCTGCAACTTCCCCACTAGATGGCACTAAATCCTACACACTGGTCCTTTGAGAACACGAGATTGATATCCATTTTCTCATCTGACTCTCTGAAAGAAAGCAAATAAGCCTGTTTTACAAATTATATAATTTTCAGTATCATGCGTGAATGTTAATGACAGAATTAGTTGTCAGCACAAACACGTCTCACCCTATGCTACTCTTACTGCTATCCTCCCTACACACACACACACACACACACACACACACACACACACACACACACACACGCTCTATGTTCCCCATCTCTGTCTCTCATTGTCCCCTCCAGCTGCCTCCTACCTCCTTTTGTTGGATAAAATTAGCTTGGTGCTAGCAGCTGAGCCTTTTATCTCTGTGTGTGAGCACCTAGCTCTATGGGCACTGTAAAGTCTCCTTTGTGTTTGTTTAATGCAAAACCACAGACTGGCCATTTCAACAGATATCTGATGCTTCAGTGTTTCCCTGTCAAACTTGCATGGATTCACCCTGCAGTATTTTTGACCAATAGGAAAGTAGATTAAAGCATATATCTGTTAAAATAGATTTTTTTTTTTTCTAAAAAAAATAGTTTTTTGATTGTAAGTTACTGCAGGTATGTTAAAGGGAGAGCTCACCCCAAAATGCAAACGCATATTTTTCCTCTTTCCTGTAGTGCTATTTATCCATCTAGATTGTTTTGATGTGAGTTGCTTCTCTTATAATGGAATCTGATCGGCTTGAGTGCCAAATAAATCCATTTGGAAAACTCAACAGCGATGTCTCTTTCTAGAAATCATGATCAGATTACTCTAGATAATCCACAGACCCTGTTGTGAGCAGTTTGATGTAGGAACTATTTTCTCTCTACCAAACTACGTTAGCTATCTCATTGGCGCTAGGTAAGCTAGCTAACGTTACAGCTTAGCAGAGTTTCCAACATGAAACTGCTCACAACAAAATTTATCACGAGTAACCGGGTCATGATTTCCGGAAGGGGACATTGCAAAGGGTTACTTCAACCAAATGACATAAAACAAAAGAAACCTTACTTTCCTCCTCAGAACTCATTTTCAGTAGTTTTCATAGGGAATGTTTTTTGGTAGAAGGTGTTCTGTAGAAGTGGAAAATCACACACATTTGGCATAGTATCACCACATAAAGTGAGAATTTGCATTGATTTGGCGCTCTCTTTTAGCTCTGTTTTGGTCTTGAGGGAAATATGTGTCTCTTTAGCTGGTAAATGCTCCACTATGATAACCAGCAGGTAGAGTTCAGTGGGTGTATCAGAGCTTTTCACTGAAGACAGCTGCCTGCTGCTTGGAACAAGGTTGCTGAGAGCACGTAGACTGAGCCGTAACGTTTATAAAGCTTCATGGATGTGATTTGAGCCATTGTTGATATGAAATATTGATCAGAGCAGCGTACGATTTAGTTTGTATTGGGTTTTGAAACCAGGGATGTTGGAGTAGTACTAAAACCAAAGCTGTCCATTTGTGACAGATAATGCTTTCAAGATCTCAGCTTCTTTGAAGTTGAAGCCAAAGGAAATGACTCTCATACGCAGAATGCCACAGTGCTGCCAGCAAAGCCCAGCATACCTGCTTCCACCCTCCCAGAACCTCCATGTTCAAACAGAGCTATTTAAAGTTGCTTCCTCTGGCCTTCGCCATGAGTCAGTGCTGTTATCTCCGGCCACAGCTCGTCTTGCACCTGGTTTCCAGAATTGATCCCAAAGCTCTTTTGTCTTTGCTTTCTTTCCATGCAGGATGGCCACTCTGCTGAGCAAGTTCAGGATAGACTTCTCGGACATCACCGTGCTGGGAGACATAAACACCAAGCCCAAGAAGGAGCAGTAAGTCCTCTTCAGTCAACTTCAAAGAGCAAAGCTTTTCCACCAGCTGAGTCACATTTCACAGTTCTGACCATCATTCCTATCAGTTAAAATAACTTACTCACCCTGCAGGTTCTGCTGGACATGCAACGCTTAATGTAACCTAATGTAAATTCTCAAATAGAGGCCTGTCACTAGTAAAGGCTCGGTAAAGATATTGAGGACGGGTGGTGAAATGACGTGTGATATAATAGCTATGTAGTAGATTGTAGAGCCTGACTGAGTGAGACAATACCAATTTTACATTTTAGATTCTAGTAAATTCAGTATAAGGTCCATTTCTACAGCACTGATTCTATAACAAGTCATGTCACATAGAAAGTACTACAGCAGCTGAGCACAACAAACATCCAACTTCAGTGTTTCTGTGTAAGGCTAGGTAAGGTAGAAAGCCAACCATTGTTTATTTTCATGCATATGTTTCATCTTTACTATATGGATATTTAAGAACCACGTCAATAGATAGTGATAGATGGACAAGTCTGTGGCCAGAGAGCCAGTGGAAGAGTGAATTACTGCTGCCCTCATGTGGTCTGTGTGTGTAAAGCAGCAGATACTAATAGACAATCGACTTTAGGTCACATTTTAGTTTGCTTTGAACAGATAATTAGATTAAATTAGATTTTAGACATGACTTGCTGACAGACAGACTGGTATTGTTCTACATTACTTTTGATCATGTGGATGCATAAATGTGTTGTTTTGTCTTTTGCTGTAACTTAAAGGATCATTCCAGCCATTTTTTTCATATTTGCACATTTTCAGGTCAGACTATCCAGAACTTTGGATAAATCCAAAATAAGCCTGATTGCTTATTTCTCACAGACCTGCTACACTTATTTATACAGTGATATTTGATGTTACATGAAAATGGGGCCAGTAGTTTTTCTGTAATCCTACTTATAAACAAATAAACGGCATGTGAAACATAAGCTCCTTGGCGGAGTTAATAACGTCATATTGACCTGGTTAAAAGCTGAGATTTAGGAACCCAGTGACGTCACTGAAAAGAAGTCAGAAAGAGAAGACAGGTTGGAAAGATTAGTCAAACTTACTTGGACGAGAAAATTATTACCCAAATAAAGTATTTAGATGATCTGGGTAAACTGTTGGAACATCTACCCATGTTCCTTGACATGATGTCTTTGTATCAATATCACTGTAATAACAATGGCTGAAACTACAAAAATAAGTTGTAAAGAAACCATTTTAAGCTGCAGTAGGTAGCTTTTATTAAAATAATGTTTAGTCTTATTTGCTGAAACTTTCACTATATCCTGACAGAAGGACATGAGACAGATAAACTGGGAAAAAATCAGGTTCCTTCGTAGTGCTCCTAATGGTATCTGCAAGAATCCACCGGGCTTGGACAAAAAAAACGGGTCGTCAAATACCAACACTTTGGGTGCCCAAGCTTCAAGTCGCCAACTCAAAATCTCGGCTCTGATTGGTTGTTTTTCTTCAGGCACGGTGGATTCTCTGTCATATTTGCTTAAACTCTCCCTGGCATTGAATCCCTTTCCACAGTTGCCATATTTTCAAACATTCAAGTAAACACAATAGAAATCTCCATATCCTTTTAAGGCTTTATGATGTTGTTGCCTGGCTTGTATAAGGGGATTAACATGAAGCTGTTGTTGTGCAGCGTGTCGGCCTTTGAGGAGTTGATCGAGCCGTATCGGCTGAAGGAAGATGACATGGAGCAGGAGGCAGCTGAGAGGCTGAAGAACAGCGAACCCTGGAGGATCACTGACAATGAGCTGGAGCTGTACCGCGCCAAGGTCAGCACACTGCTACAGTTCCATATGAATACATCTTCCAGAGCCTGGAGAGTGAATACTTTTCGAATCCACTGCAGCCCAATTTAACTGCTTCTATAAACAGTTGGTGGAAAGAGTTCAGTGAGGCAGTGTGAGCTGCACTGCTGGCTCACAGTCAGGTTCAAACATTCAGGTATCATCTTACCAGATAATTATCACAAGCTGCTACAACACTGTTTGTTTTGCTCTTCAGACTAATCGTCAGATCAGACTCAACGAACTGCTGAAGGAGCACTCGAGCACAGCCAACCTCATCGTCATGTAAGCTGTGTGTGTGTGTGTGTGTGTGTGTGTGTGTGTGTGTGTGTGTGTGTGTGTGTGTGTGTGTGTGTGTGTGTGTGTGTGTGTGTGTGTGTGTGTGTGTGTGTGTGTGTGTGTTCCTTTTAACATGTTGACTACACATTGAGTTCATGCAAGAGTTATGTAGTAGCTGAGGACGTATCAACTTTCCCACTCCTTAAGTGGTAAAGGCTGGACGTTTGAAAGACCGATAAACTTAAAAGAAGATGTGAGGGTTACATGGAAATGGGACTAACTGGGGACTTACTTAGGAAGTAAAAGGCGTCTGTATGGTTTTTGGTTTGCCGGTTGAACACTGTTAGAAACGAAGAAATGTCGAAGAAATGTCTCCCAGATGCAGGTCCAGTTTTTAACCCATTCCCCCACCACAACTTTCTTCTTAATAATCTAAAAGGTGACTAGATATATCTTTGTGGTCTTTTATTTATAATTTAATATATCATTTTATAATAGTTTTTGGGCCCCTGCTTGTGTTAAGAGAGCAGTGAACATTTTAAAACCTTTTTTGTTAATTGATTTTAAAAAGGGATTTGTAGAAATGTATCAATTGTAGGGAGTATCAGTACTGAATCTCTGGCATTGCATTGGTACCAGTATCAATGAATTTTAACGAAAGCAGCCCTATTAATTATTGCCTCTTCTTGTCCTGCTTCCTCTTCCTCTGTGCAGGAGTCTGCCATTGGCCAGGAAGGGCGCGGTGTCCAGCGCTCTGTACATGGCCTGGCTGGAGGCGTTGTCTAAGGACCTGCCACCCATCCTCCTGGTGCGTGGCAACCACCAGAGCGTCCTCACCTTCTACTCTTAAACACACACGCTTGAGAAGAAAATCCAAGTTTTTAAGTCTCACATCCACTTCTGCTTCTGGGAGCAGACCCACACACACATCCCAGTTCCAGTCCAAACCTAAAGGTGCACCACATACACTCCAGAGACGGTAGAAAACACAGCCACTGATGGAAACAACACTGAGAATATAAAAATGATGAAGGAAGTGATATTGAGATGTGTAAAAAGCCCTTCAAGTGATGGAGGATTGTCAGGGTTGAAGGTGGGTGGGGGGTGGTTGTAAGGGTTCCCACTCTGTTCCTTTCTTACTATTTATTCCAAGATGTCTGGGTTTTTCCCTCGTAGCTCTAGTTTCTTCTAATTTCCTCATGAAAATTTCATTTTTGTCAATTGATTTCTCTCAGGCTCCAAAGCAGTCGTGCACAATGTCCACATTGTTCTCATGATATGAAATATCTTGATGTCAAACTTAGCGTTAATTGGACCAGTTGTTGTGTTTGTGATGCAGCAATAATCACCCTGTTGTTTTCCTTAAATATTGGGAGAGAACCATGCAGAATGCTTTGCAACACCTTCTGAAGCCTTATGGATGTGCCTTCCAGTTGAATCAGATAAAATAATTATAATCTCTATCCAGATTGACAATAGTACCTATTATATTGGTGGATAATAGTTTTTTTGAGTTTTAAATGTGATTCTTTCTTAGTTGGAGCATTGTATTTATGCGAGTGGATTGCATGGATTTAATGAAGGGTGTCCACTTGATTGCATGAAGACTTTCTCTAATTTCTCTCTTTTACCCTAATCAACATGTTTCTTTTGGGTTTTCATTTTTTATTCACTTTTAAGTCTTCCTTTTAAAGCTGTTGAATATTTACGATAGCCTCAGCTACTCGACACAAGACACAATTTATCTTTTAGGCACGTTGCCTAAAAAATGTTTATATGGGTCTTAAATTTAAGATCTTGTTGTTTGTCAGAAAAGATGTGAACGTAGTTTTCCATTAACCTAGTCAGGTGGAAATCTCTCCCATGTAGCCGCTGATCCACTAAATTAAGTATTCCTTTCAACAACTGTTTGTGTCCACATGTACGGTTCTTCCCCTGAAAAGAAACGGCTCTACCCAACAAGCTAGTTAAAACCTTGCCTTAATGCTAGAACTAACGATTGTCATGAGTTCCTTTTCTCTTATAAGCCATACTGGCTGGACGGTTTGTGGGTAAATGCAGATAGTGATCCATTATTAACATGGTAGAAGAAGCGTTTCAGCACAATTTTCTTCTGTACTGTATATGCATCGTAATTTTCTTTTCTAGTCCCACCTGCATTAGTCTGTTACAGTGCTCACTGTAGGCCTGTGTGTTGCTAGTGAAGTGGTCAATCAACAGATGGTAATATATTCCACTTTGCCAGCGTTAGTACCACAGTAGTCTTGAGTTTTGCACTCCTGTCCGGCTGCTTGTTTGTCTAGGTGTATGATGGACTGCTGGTCTCCCATTCCCACAAAGCCTAGATGGGCAGAGAGAATAAACAATGTGCAAGCTTCATGCTGGAAGGCTTGCTGGAAGAATGTGACGTTAGAATGTGTCAAGGCTGAGTGAAGATATACCTCTATGCACATGAGCTTGTGTTACATAATTGTAATAAAAGTCCATCGCTCCTGCATGTGAAAGGATGTACTCGCCTCAGTTCATTTAAGGAGCATTTTAGGCACGTTCCTTTTCTTTACACTAATTCTGTACTACAAGAACACTGGCTTGTAGTGTTTTTAAAGGGTACCATGGCTCCAAAAAAAGCCATGTATAGGCCATTTCACAGTTTTAAACACTGATGTTCTATATAGGTCAAATGTAGTCCCCTGTTCTACAGAAGACGATTAGGGCCACATGAAAAATTTATTGAGTTCTAAAAGTGAGTGTCTAAAGTGTAAAAACCAAAAAAATTCTCTCTCACAAAAAAGCAACAACTCATAAATGTTTCACGTTGCCCTTGTGTTCTAACATGGCCCTAAAGAAGGTTGATTGGGCCAGAGGGAGCTCTGAAATGAAATAATAAATAAATTAGAACTCTGCTGCTTTTTTGAGGTCAAGTTACATTTATTCTAAAGGAGTTTTCAGATTGAATGCAAAGTGAATTTTAGAAGTGCTGCCATTGCTTATAAAATCAATTCAAAGACACAAGTGGATGTAAATTCACACTGGGCACCACAAATTAAGGCAAAATAGACCCTGCAAGTTAAAATGTTTCAACATGAGGGGGAAAATACGCTTATCCCATATCCAATTCATGAAGATGGGGAGATGATAAAAAGTCGAGTCTTAAAAAAATAAAGAATGAACTGAACGTTACTAGTAAATTTTGAAATCAGAGTTGCTAGCCATCTTACTGTGAACATCTGTACAGTTAGTAAAGACGAATGGACTATTTGGATACTTTAGCAGCTGTGTTCAGTCTCAACACACCTTAAGGTTGGCTTAAGTTTGAGTGCATTGCCCTGCAAAATTAATAATTTAATTAGAATTGCGGATTATTTAGGCTGTGGTATAAGCAGGATAATATTTTGCTAGCTGTCCAGTTCATCAGAAAATAACTGCACAGCTCATTGTGCATTGCTAATGTTAAAAGTTGACAGAAGAGTGAACTTGGACCTAAACAGCAACATAATTCAGAGGAAAGATTATGGTTATAGATTAAAAACTGCCACAAAACTAATGGAATAAAACAGGGTTGTCTTTATTTGTAATGTACTTCTTCTCTGCGTTTCCCCCAGGAACAGGCAGGTTCAGCATTTAGCTTGTTACTTTGCTTATGTCCTTAACTGTATGCAATTTCATAAGAGGAATGTGACACGATTCTTAGGTTAGCTGAATGTACTGTATAATAATGAACACTACCGCTTGGAGTTAGCATACATAGCCTCCTTTTGTTTTCCGTTCCCTTGTATATGAATCATTTTCTGCATAGATTGCAGTTAGCACAGTGCAGCGTACTGTGTGTCAGCTTCATTGTGCTGTAAACGTTCATACAGCTGCACCCCATCACTCTACTGTTGTTCTAAGCATTCAGTGTGTGCACATTAACTATATACACTCTCTTGCCTACCAGTGTATTAAATATACCATGAGTACTTTCCAAGTATGTGAAAAGCATGCACTAGGTGAGGAACTGTAAACCTTTTTTAAACTTGAAGGTATAGTCAAAGACAATCCTTGGTGAAGTTGTAGCACGCAGTAGAACCACCGCTGCCCCAAAACATATTCCTAGCTCACAAATATAAATCGTATGTAACTTTACAATAGAAGACACACATTCGCAAACACACCAGGACCCTGCTCCTTCCAATTAGACACATTTTGCTCTCGGTTTCAAGGAACCCACTGGATCTATAAATGTATGTACTGCTTGTTTTAAACAGTAAAATTGACTAAGTATATTTGACCCAAACTAGGGACTTAAAGTCAGGATATCTCTACCTCTGCTGCTTTGATCTTGGCCCCTTTTAAAAAAAAAAAAAAAAAATAAAAAATTGCATTTAATGAAGTATAACAAATCACTGCAGTGCCACTTCAATTGGCAGTGGCATTCCAAAGTCAGTTTGTTTGACATCTGTTAGTGCAAGTAAGAAAATATCAATACACTTGAGTATCGCAATGTTTTGTTTTGGGATGTTGTATCAATTCTTAAAAATACTGTCAATTTTTGTGTTTAAACACCCAATCACTAGATAGCAGTGTTGTAGCGGTTGTGATAAATCCAAATGCAGATCCCACTGTTCTGGTTGCATAAAAAAGTTAACTTTTTTTAAAACTCAGCTTTTAAGCATACAGTGGTGTGTTCTTTATAATGTTACTTTTTCTAAAATATATAATTTTTTTTTAAATGGCGATATATCACCTTGGTTATATATTGATTCGTAAAATACTATATTGTGACAATTCATATATAGCACATACTGTACTTCAAATGTGTTCATCGTATGCATTTGGGACAGCGCAGGTTTAAAACTTTTGGTGAGCTAGAGGGAGATTCGGACATTTGGGGGCGCTATTGTGCACTATAACAAAGTCAAGGATTGTATCTTTAAACTTCGTTCATTATTCTGCTGTGAAGCACTCACTCTCCTTTACTGTTAAAGAACAACAACATTACAAACAAAAACACGGGTTACTCTATATTTGTATAATAAAGAATACATATATGCCTCTATAAACATATATAAATGTATCAGTCCGACCTGGAGGGGATCTTTGTCTTTGATATGTCACATTAAGTGAAACAAAAAAAACCTCCTGTCAACATTTTACAACCAAATAATACTATTTGTGTGTGTTTTCTTCACTTATGTCCTGATAGATAGATGGATAGATAGATAGATTCTAAAGCCTGTCTGACAATACTACTGTGTTCAACAGAAGAAACCAAATGTCACCTGCACTCATGTCAGCCATGTCATCATTTGACATCTCCTAATTATTGTATGTATTTTTTTGCCAAAGCCCCCTTCCTCTCCAGTCCCCATCTGTCATGTGTTGAGCCATGATGATGGATGATAGTGTAATAAATAAAATCATAAAGTGGTCTTTATATCTCATGGTGGTCGACCTCGTCCACACTGCAAACATAAACTAACCTGTAAATAAACTTAGTTGTGTAATGGCATAACTTAAAGGTCCAGTGTGTAACATTTAGCAGGATCTATTGTCAGAAAATTGAATAAAATACTCATAGGTATGTTTTCATTAGTGTTTCATGCTTAAAAAAAAAATTGTGTTTTTGTTACCATATGAGTTGTTTTTATCTACATCCTCTTTTGGCGGAATCCGCCATGTTGAACCACCATGTTTCTACAGTAGTCCAGAATGGACAAACCAAACACTGGCTGTAGATAGGGCATTTTTATCTTTTTTTGCAAGTTTTGTGGCCACTGTAGTTTCTTCCACACACCTGGAAGTGTTATTCAGTTGGTTGGTTGGTTCACTGCTAGATGCCACTAAATCTTACACACTGGTCCTTTTAAGGGAGAGGAATAATTATGTTGAATTTCATTATGGAGAAAGATATTTATTTTAGTTTAGAATATTCTCCACTGTTTTTTTCTTTTTCTTTTTTGTCTTTAATATCTTGGTTTTGGTTGTAAGTTAATTTGCATGTTGATTTTTTTTTCTTTTGTTTTGTTGCCCTTTTGATTTTAGCAAATTGTCTTTTTTTCTCTTTTTGAGTCTGTATTTCTATCTTTTTAATGCCTTTTGACGAAAAGACATGACGACAAAAGCAGATCAAACCTGTTTCTCCTGCTTTCACACAAACGTGGATGGAATCGACCCAGCTGGTTGAAGCAGTAATGTTTTGATACACTGTACTGTTAACAGTCACAGATATGCTTTTTCTAACATTTTAACATTTATGATTACCAATACTTTGTACATCTTTATTGCAATAAATAAATCAAATGAAATCAGTAACATTTGAAGTCTCGTTTTGTGCTCTGTATTATTTAAATTTACTTTATAGGAAGTTACTGAATAGGAAAGAGAGAATAGGGGTGAGAAAGGAGAGTTGATATGTTTAAGCTAGGTAACTATATTATTATTTTTTTGCCTCCTAAAACAATTGACTCTTAAGTCCCGCCTCTTTTTGCTCTGCTCCAATAACAGTTGAGCAAGCCTCCGTCAAAACTGTTAACATTCTCCTTTTCTGTACTTAGATATGCTATGTGCTAGAATAATCAAATAGTCACATCTGAAGTAAGCCAATGTAAATGGTAAATGGACCTGTACTTGTATAGCGTCTTTCTAGTCTTCCGACCACTCAAAGTGCTTTTACACTACGTGCCACATTCACCCTTTCACACAGTGATAGCAAAACCCATCGAACAGAAACTCATTCATACACATTCACACAACGATGCACGGCATCAGGAGCCATTCGGGGTTCGATATCCTGTGGCACCAGGAGCCGGGGATCGAACCAACAACCTTCCAATTGGGGGATGACCCGCTCTGCCTCTGCGCCACAGCTGCCCCGTAATAATAAATAATAAATAATAAATAATAAAACCCTAGCTAACTAGCTAGCTTATTTATATCAATTGTTAGCTGGCTAGATAGCTAGTTTTGCAACAATTCTGCTACAGTAGGTCCCTCCCTTACCAAATTTAAAAAATGCATCAGAGACCTGCAAAGGACAGTGACTTTAGGGACGGGGCCTTCTACTCTTCCGCAGCATCTAAAGCACAAGTCCGAACCACTGCGCCAGAATATAAAAACAATAAGTAGAGTGTATAAAAAAGTAGCATACATTTGAAAACGAGTGCAGCCTTTCACAGACTCACTCAAAGCTCACGTTAAACAAACAAAATGCAGATTTTTGTAAATTTGGTAATGTCAATTTTAACACTAGCATTAGTGTGTTTCATCAAAGTATACTTATATAATTCAAGTTACTGCTAAAAAAAACGTTTTAGGGTGGAGGGCCTCTTTAATATAATTAAAAGAAAATAATGCATCTGCTAAAACATCTGTTCTTCCAACATCTGTTAATGCCACTTTTTTTCTGTGGAAACTATGTGTAATCTGCATTTAAGGAAGCCAGTAACAGATTACCCCTGGCAAAGAAAAAAGTTAATAAGGGATCTTTTGCACCCTTCTGCGCAGAAGGTAAAGTGATATTTTTATTGGATCTGGTGAGACCAAAGATGATTTTCTGGACCCAGCTGAAAAATAAAGTTGTATTCTATTCTATTCTATTCTATGGTGCAAACATTAAAAACAATACAAATCAGATTTAAGTCATGATGAAAATAAAAAGGGTATTTACATATATATATTACTATTTATGAAAACTGGATTTTTTCCGAAATAATGTAAACTTCATTGCTCAACATTTGAAGGAATTTTTGTTGTGGCTATACCATGCTACTAGAACAGTGTTTTACAAAATAACCAAGGCACTTCAACAAAAAACCTTTATTTTGCAGAAAATGCAATGATCAAAATTAGAGAACAGCAATGGTAAATGGACCTGTACTTGTATAGCGCCTTTCTAGTCTTCCAACCACTCAAAGCGCTTTTACACTACATGCCACATTCACCCTTTCACACATTTTCACACAGCAATGGCAAACATCAAACAGAAACTAACTCATTCATTCACATTTGGGATTTGGGGTTCAGTATCTTGCTCAAGGATACTTCAACATGTGGCAGGAGGGGCCGGGGATCGAACAAACAATCTTCCGATTAGGGGACGACCTGCTCTGCCTCTGAGCCACAGCACGCTGAAAGATTACAACAACATCTTCTGAAGGTTACAACAGTCAACAATTAGTAGGAAGTGTACAGGCCATTGCTTTGAATGACTTCAGCACATCTGCGGCCACAGGACATCACTAGTCTCTCACACTGCTTTGGTGTGATTTTGGTCCACTCTTCTTCCAGTGTCTTCCACACTTCGGTGGCTGTAGTGGGTTTCTTGGCCATAACTTTGTCGGCAAGAATTTTCCAAAGGACAACGAACATATTGTTTCTCATCGGACCCAAATAAATTAAACTTGCTTTCATCACTAAAGTGAACTTTGGCCCAGTCCTCCTCTGTCCACACAACATGCTCCTCAGCAAAGGTTAGTCTAGCCTTTTGATTCTTTCTGCCAATGAGAGGTCTTGAGGGACTTGAATGGGTTTGTGACGTTGTAAAGACGCAATATTCTAGAAATCACAAATTTGGAACGACCAACTTCTCTTGCTATGACTGATAGGGTCATCCCTTTGGCCTTCATCTGGACAACCTGCTGCCGAAGGGTTTCAGTCACTTTAGAACGGCTCACCATCTTGCAAAGTCACTGAAAACTGGAAAGTTAGGCTGCCAGTTAAATAGGGTTTGTTGGATAATTAAGAGAATTAGCACCAGGTGCCAGATTATCTCCAATAACTGGGAGGTATCTGAAAGTGTTCTCTAATTTTGATGTGTTCTTTTTCAAATATCTCATTTAAGTTTTTATACTGTGCTTCAGAGCATATGTAACTCATGAAATATGCTTAAAACACTTTTAATCCTGTTTGGATAATTTCAAATAGGACTACGCAGTGACCTTGACATTTAGGAAATTGTAGATTGTTATCTAATTTTGATCTCCAGTGTACTTTTTTCTTGCTTGTTTGGTGCCCCTTTAATGGTTGTGGTTTTCTTTGAGATTAATTATTCGGTTAATTATCTATTTCAGGATAACAAAGCTGTCGTAATTATAAAATGAGATCATTAAGTTATGATGTCGAAATAATGGCTTAAACAAATAAACCTTTTCACATCTTCCATGCATAAAGGGTAAAAAGAGTGTTTTTCAACATTATTTTTCCATGTTTCCCATCTGTTGCGATTTGGCGCTATACAAAACAATTTAATTGAATTGAATGTTTATGTGTCAAAGTGACTAATGGAGACAACAAGTTTTGAATTCTGTCCATAATTGAATGAGAGTACGGGAACCTGCAGCACGAAACGGCTATGACGCAATCCTTACAGGCAATTGCACACTGACTGGCTTAGATGGTTATTATAAGTGTGGGCCAGGACCGGGCTAGGGCTGAGGTTTGTGACCTGTGCAGGGCTCTAATTCATAGTCCCCATAGGCTGTGCAGCCAAAACATGTCCATTATGACTGCTGACTCCAGCCAAGTTTTCTAGTTTTCTTCTAAAATAAGAACAGAACAATATGTGACCACTACATGAAGGTGAGGTTCTAAAAGTTGCACTATACAATGGCAATGTCTTCATAAATCAGTTTTTCTTCTGTAGAACCACAACTGGCACTATGATAACAATAAGTATCGCACAAATGGACAAAATGACTGAAAAAAGAATTTTACAAAGTCTTTTTCTTTTGTGTTCTGCTTCTTTCTTCTTCAGTAAAGAGTCAAATCCTGGCGTGTAGAGATCCTCAAGCCAAAAGTCCAGATCTTTAGGAGTCTTCTCTTCCTCCTGTGAAGAAAATGAAAACAGGCTTAACTATGACACATCGCTATTATGACAGCGGATTCAATTCATGCTCCAGCAATAATCACTTGCATAGTTTCTGATGATTCACTGATATATCTTTGAGTGATGTTCCTATTCATTGCAGAATGAAGAACCATGTGTTTCTGCCACATATGTGCTATAAAAATTCCTTCTCCTTTTTGATGTCTTGTAGCAGTTGGCAAACAATGAGAGTGAGTGCATTACTGCCACCAACTGGTATGTTGTGGATCGGGAAGTTACCAATATATTCAATAATTATATTAATAAATAAAAAAAATTAGAAAACTAAAGTTATAGTTCTCTCTATGAAGTTAATTTCTTTAAGATATTTTAACATAAATAGATAACACTTCTTCCCAGAACTTCTTTGTTAAAGATCACATCAATCATAGCTCAACTGTATTTCTTTAAGGTTCCAAATAAGTTCCTTTTTGTCAGTGACATATTTTGGAAAGTGAAGCAACATTTTCTAATGTTTCTGTTTGATTACAAAACTCACCTTTCTGTATTGTGTTTTCCTATCGTAACCCATTTGTGCCCAAAGACTCTAAAAATGCTATAACATTTGTTCTAATTGGTCTAAAGTCTTGATTTGGTGCCGACATACTTTATAATAATAATAATTTTATTTATAGAGTGCTTTACAAGAAACTCAAAAGACATTTCACAAAGGTAAAATACATAGGTTAAAAGGGTAATAGGAACAACACACTAAAATAAAACAATTATAAAATATATGTACAATATATATCTACAGCACACAACAATTAATCACACATTAAAAGCAGTTCTGAAGTCTAGGATTTGTTTGGGGAGAGTGTTCCAGAGGGAGGGGGCAGCTATGGAGCATAATCTATCGTAGGGGTGGGCGATATGGGCAAAAAATAATATCTCGTTATATTGGGGGATTTTGGCAATAACGATAATCAGTCAATATCCTATCCTCCAAAAACTCATTTTCCGAGCGCCCAGCGGTGTGAAAAGTTGAACAGATTTCAACTTGAAGCGTTCTGAGCGCTTCGCTTAAAGAAACGTCTCTGCTGACATCTTTTTACCGCTGAAGGCGCTTAGCGCTCTGAACGCTGAAGCTCATAGGATTTGTATTTAAAATAGGCGCTGCTAGCACTAAAAACGTGTTTGCTGGACACAGACCATTATCAGTCTTTTCGAAACCAAACCATTTCCATGCCAGAGAGGTAGACCCACGTCTCGGCACTAAATCATCTGAAGTACAGTTAGCTTCAGGGACTGACTTTAGCGCTGCTAAACTGTTGCAAGGGGGATGCTAGCGAGAGGTCACGTGATCACGTAGGCCCACTAGTCGTGTGACTGAATTGTGCCATGCTGTAGAGAGCGTTGCTGCACCGTGTATTAAGTGGATGTGAGGAGTTTCCGCGTGCGTTTCAATATTTTTGGCGAAGTAATTTAAATACTCGATAATGGAAATTTTCACATCGTCAAAACAACAATGACGATATTATCGCAAACGATATATATCGCCCACCTCTAATCTGTCGCCCCAGGAATGATACTTGTTCCTCAGTGGTGGAGACAAGAGGTTTGTGTCAGAAGAGCAGAGGCTTCAGGAAGGAGTGTGGCTTTGGAGCAGGTCTGTGAGGTAGGAGGGGCCTGGTTGTTGATGGCTTTATGGGTAAGGAGACTGGAGGACAGGGGTGACGTGGTCACGGGAGCCGGGATCGGTGAGCAGGCGAGCAGCAGAGTATTGGACATTCTGTAGTTTTTAAGGACTTAGGAGGATGTACCATTTAAGATGCTATTACAATAGTCAATTCTGGATGTGATGAAAGCGTGGATGATGGTGATATGACCTTAGCCAGGAGAGGGCAGTACTAGTGATGTTCAGGAAGGACTTAAGACAGGTGAGAAGAATGGTGTGGTTGATAGTGTCAAAAGCTGCAGTGAGGTCCAGGAGGATAAGAATGTTGAGGTGACCAGAGTCTAAGGAGAAGAGGAGGTTATTGGTGACTTTTAGCAGGGCTACTCCTGTGCTGTGTTGTGAGCGGGAACTGTCATGAAATGGTTCAAACAGGTCGGCTTTTAGGTGGTGGGCTTTGAGTTGGGAGGCAACAACATGTTTGAGTATTTTTGACAGAAAGGGAAGATTAGACATAACTGCTGATGGTGTCAGAAAGGGAAGATAAAGGGTTTAAAGAGATCGCTTTCCTCAACAATTGGTGACCTCGACGTGATGAAGACGGAGAAGTTAGACAACCAAGTTTTTTCTTCACAACGGACGAGAGGACTGAGTTACAGCAAAACTTCGTGGCCACATAAACAAGGTAAGCAGAAGCCTGTTATAACAAAATTCTGCGATTGGGCATTGTCAAAAACTGTTTTGAAGTCACTTGTGAAACTCCTCCTAGGCATAGTTTAAACCAGTATAGTGTGCAACATAGGGCACGCTCCCTTAAGGAGGTCGCCAATAGGGAACCTGCTGTGAAAGCGCACGAGCAGATTAGCCCGAGGGTTGGAGTCCCGTGAGGGTTAGAGGCCCCACAAAGCACCAGCGGTTTGAAGGCCGCCCCAACCCTGCCACATTATATGGGTGGCGGGGTAAAAAGGGGTCTAGAGGACGCCCCAGGTCGCTGGTTCCTGTAAGTACCAGAAGAGGGAACTCCGAGAGGGATAAAAAGGAAAACTCGGACTAGCCCAAGGGTTTCAATCCCTGTGACCGTTGGAGTCAGCACTAAAATAGTTTGTACTAGCGAAAAGGTAGCGCCGGTGGTACAAATAGCCTGAGTTCATACGATATATTGCGATGCAAACATTTGAGCATAATAGTTGAGTGTTGAGAAATGGGAAACTGTTAAAAAGGCTGAATCATTGGGATTGTGTATTGTGTGGGTGGGTCCAGGAGTTAAGACTTTTTTGTGAGAACGTCTGTTCTGTGGGGAAAACGGGTGGTTGGATACGGGAGAAGTGTGTCTAAAAACTTTCTGTGTGAAGCCTGGGAGGACCCCTAGAAGTGAGACCAGACTGAAAGTTATTCACCCTAGAAGCTTGTCTCACTGGGCAATATTTTGTGCAGAAGCAGACCGTGAGTCATTCACACTGACCCCGTATGTGTACATGATTTTTTGCTGTCAGGGTGTGTAGCACGTTTAAGAGACTGTGTTAACATGGACGGAGAGTTCGACAGAGAGTGTAAAGAATATGGGGGGTGCCCAAAAGGTACCGTAGGAGGGCAGTGGAAACAAATTAGACAGCAATTGACTAGTGGGTTTCCGCAGAATAAACAGGAAAAGATGATGAAGGGACACGATATGACCTGGACTTGGCTCCAGGAAGAGGGACATATACCTAGAGATGAGAAAAAGGTGGAATTGTTGCCCTATCTGGCTGATGCCGAGAGGGCTGTGTTGAAAGAGTTAGAAAGGCATAAGGCAGAAGAGGGAAAGAAGGGTTGGGTGATAAGGAGGAAGTGGAAAGAAACATTAGCAGAGAAGGAAGAAAGGAGAGCGTCAGTGCATATAATAACATTAGCATGTGCAGCATTTGAGGCTCAGAAAGACAAAAACTTGACTAATACTGTTACCAAGACTGTGACTAAGACTGCTCCACCGACGGGACCAGCAGTCCCCCACACATACCCAGACCTGACCTCACCATGTGCACCCTCAGCCCCTGACCATACACCCCACATGATAGCACCCCCACGGTACACTGTTATCTCGCGAGGGGGAATACAAGCCCCCGTCTTCACCGTAAAAAGCGCACTATTAGACCTTGAGACACAATCAGTAGAGGGGGGAGCAGCCCAACTGCAGCGGTTGGATTTGATTGTAGAAGAACAACAGGCAGCCATTGTGGAGGTTACAAGCATATGTATATATACATATTATATATATATATAACGACAGGGAGAATTAGATGAGTTAATAAAGGTAGCAAGACAAGAATTAGCAGGGATAAACTACAGGCACAGACTTCCTAGGCACCCGCAACGACCATGACTTGTATCCAATCCCTGATTGGGTAGAGGGTCCCCATTACCACCAAGAACAATGACGAGGCCCGGGAACCTCTGACATCGGTGAGCCAGGTGCGGTCTCATTCACAGATGCTTTTAGCTCAAGACAACACACTGGGCGCTATAGGGCAGTGGGCGGATATTTACTGGGGGTTGGTGCTGCCAGAAACGTCAAAAGGGGGTGGTGTAAATTCATTGTACACAGACTGGAAGCCGTGGTTGCATATACTGAATCCCTATGCCCCTCCCCCTGATCCTATCCATGTCACATTGTTTTATGATCGGGATGAAACTTGGGTGTATCATGAAGCATTTATGGCCGTGGAGGGTGCGGAGGCTCAGGTGGAGACTAAGTGTTTGTTTGCAGGACCAGAAGGGATAGCGGCTGTAGTAGAATTGAATGATGAGTTGGATGTTTCTGAAAAACCCAACTCAGTTAATGGTGTGCTTTTTCAGAAAAAAGGGGGTGGGAGACAGGTACTAACATATGCAAGCGTGACGCTAGATGCAACAGAGAACAGACACCCACCATGCACCAGACATGCAGCGAGAGTCGTGAAACTTTTGAATAAAACAGCACATATCGTAATGGGACACGCAATAACAGTACTTACCACACATAGTGTAGTTGTGTTTGTAAACTCACAAGCATTCACCATGACCTCACTACGACAGACAAGACTCGAAAAGCACTAATGAAGCCCAGACAAGTGGCAGTGATTAAGTGCAAAGGACATAACAAGACTGAGACACTGACTGCTAGAGGAAATGACGCCGCAGACCAGGCAGCTAAACTGAAAGCCGGCTATAACAGGAGAAGAGTGTTTGGGTGGGCAGGGGAGCAGTAAAGACTGAAGGACTACGGAGGGGACCGGAGGGAAGGCCAGTCCTCCCTCCAGGACTGACACAAGTGATGCTCCAGGAAGGACACGGACCGACACATTGTGGTAGAAGACAAATGAAGCATCAG